GTTTAGTTGTCTAAACCTAACTAAGTAGTTTAGTTGTCTAAACCTAACTAAGTCATTTTGTTGCCTAAACCTCCTTTCTCGCATCCTTCTTGTTTCGCGGGGGCGGGGCTTAGCAAAGAGTGAATTGCACAAGCTAGAGAAAATAAAAGGAACTCACATCCCTCCCCTCCTCCATCCTTACTTTTAGTATCCTCCTTTAAATCTCTTCTAAAGAGAAACTATTCTGCTCCATCTTGTTTTACCTCTTGGCTTCTGGATCTTAGTTGCTTATATGTTTTTTTGTTGTGAAGCACTTGACGTCTCTGAACAGACCCTGATATGACGATGAAGCAGAGACGAGGATACTTATAGTATCACTTGACCTTTCCATCACCATAATGCGGATTACGTCAGATCTTTAGGTTTAATCAATCTGGTGTTCCAGCTCACATCTCATCACAGAACAACCATCACTTCACAAGCTATTCCTCCACTAACACATGGATGTAATATCAGCTGACCGCTGGCCCTTCGGTTACCGTCCCACACTGGTGTTAGCCGGCCGGATGATGAACGAACATCTCATCATGGACCAACACGGGGGCTTAACCAGCATGCGTAGCTTACAGAGGATATTGATTTGGTGTTGTGTTTCAGGCTGAGAGAGGCAGAAAAGAAATGAGACAGATGAACAAAGGATACTCATGGTCACATTCAAGAGGAAAGAAAAACATTTAGCACTGAAACACGTGTGTGTGTGTGTGTGTGTGTGTGTGTGTGTGTGTGTGTGTGTGTGTGTGTGTGTGGTGGATTAAACGGGGTCTTTACAGACAAGCTGGTTAGCCCGCTGATGAATTGAGACATCAAAAATAACAGTGTGTTAGAATCATTGTTTGGTGTTTTGTTGGATCAGCTCTTCTCTGGACAGTGTGTTGTGATTACTGGAGGAAAGGGGACTGTTGGAGCTATTTATTTGATATTGTATTTTGTTATTTCATTTATAAGTAGTATTGTTTAATTATTGTAGATGTTTCATATATTAAGATTATTTTTCTCTTTAATAGTAATTTGTTTAGTGATATTGTTTTTTGGGTAATTACTGTGGGCACCTGTTGCTATATATATGAGTAGAAGGATAGGACCAGCATGCACCGGGGTGGGCGTATAGTTTTTACCAGCATATCACATCACAGGAGAGACAGCACGACAGGAGTTTTGTTAGTTCGTTTGTTTGCTTGTTTTGTTTGCTTTATTTAAAAAACACGAAAATCGGAATCCCGCATGGACAATCCACTCTCTTCTGGCTGCGTAAGAATACCGACCACGGTGCATCAGTGGCGTTTGATTATTGTTTGTTTAAGTTTGATTAAGTCGACAAATGGCCACTACAGGGACACATGGGACGATTGATTCTGGATTGGGAGTGAGAGGAGGAGGAGGAGGAGGGACACTTTTTAATCATCATGAAAATGATTTAGCGTGTTGTTGCTTCAGAGTCTGTTCACAGAATATGTGAAATATGTTGGAATTGGAAGAGACTGATAAGACAGATAAATCAACATTTTGAGACACTAAGTTGAATTATGAGATATGAAGTCAGACTTTGGAGAGAGTAAGTCGAAAGTTGAGCTAATAAATCATATTTTTGAATCAATATCTTCGACCTTTGTCATAATACTGTCCAGGTAAATCTTATAATCGTAACTTAATTTCTATCTTTTGATTTTTACTTACTGTCTTACACTGTCTTACCCTTCAATAAGTCCACATTTCTAACGTTTTGTGTCATCAGTTTAAACATTATATCTTAAATGATCTCAGTAGAAGTTATAAAGTAGTTTAAAATGGAAACGCTAATGTCCAAGTACCTTATGGGTTAATGTACTTAGTTACTTACCATCACTGCATCCCTGTCCAAAACATGCTCAATATTATTCATTATAAGAGCAAAAACAGACGCATTAAAAACTACAAGGATGCTCTGAGAGGATGCACCCCAGGGTTCTGATCCGCTAGTAGTCCCTGTAATCCTGCTGACACAAAACATACAGAACTATACGTGGTAATATCTCAGTAAAACAGGGTCGGTACCACGATAACACAGCGATCCACCAGCTGACAGGTTGTTTTTTTTATTTATTTATAGGTGCGGTCGGCCACGAGGAAGCGGTTCCACCGCTGGCAGGAGCAGCACTCCATCCGGGCCCGGATGACCCAGGCCATGTCCATCCCCACCTCACCTTCACGGGTCAGCTTTCACAGCATCAAGCAGTCCACGTCGCTATGAGAGACCGTCGTCCTCATCGCTTTTTCTGCCACATCACTGGAGTACACTGAAACACTTTGTCTCCTGGACCTCAGGAGGGACATTACGCAGAGTTGAAAAATGGACGAGGACGGAGATAAAGGACACTGCAGACTTTATGAAGCGAGAGGTCAGTGGATCAACAGATGCACCGAGCTGAGGGACTCTGAATCTGGGTCTGAATGTACAGCACTCCGTGTTCTTTAATGTTGGCCTGCCATAGGTACTTACATCAGTGAGAACCCGTGTCGCTGGACTGCACTGAACTGGATTCCGCCCCCAGCGCACACTGGACTCAAACGCAGCGAATAACTTATTAAAATGAAGGTTTAAGTTTTGTTTTTGTTTTTTTAAGTGTTCTGGATATAGTGTTTGTTAATTTGATGTTGTGCTATCGTCCTCTGTTCTCAGCCAGCTTTGGCGCAGTCGTGCTACTTTCATCAACTTTCCAGAATGTTTTAAACACAGTCCATAATGTTTCTACTTGAAGAGTTTTATTCAGAAAATATATGTCAACTGTGAATTAAAGTCAAAGTCCAGCACATGAGTGGGTTAGTAGTGAAGTCTAAAGGCAGATGAGATGGGTCCATACCGCTGTCAGATGTTAAGAATCGAGCCAGAGCCAGGAGGCAATTAGCTTAGCTTAGCATAAAGACTGGAAGCAGGGGGGACAGTTAGCCTTCCTTTCTCCAGTGTCCAGAAATCAGTGGTGGAAAGTAACGCAAGTACAAATTTGAGTTACTTGAGAATTATCTTTTCATGCTACTTTCTACTTGTTAGATAGCTTTAGTTACTTTACAGATGTTTACATACAAACATGCAAAGAGCTCATGAATATGATGTTTTATTATGTATTAAACTACCCAATAATGTATACAAGTACAGCTGAAACGATTAGTTTATTAACCAATGAGTCAATTGAAAAAAAAAAGATTTCTTGACAGACAATCAAAAGGTGTTTTGAGGAAATGTGACTCACTGCAACTAGAGAGGTTCTTGAGCATACAGCCAGAACTGGTCTCCCAAAATATGATGAAGTTCACTGCAGCGGAATGACAGATTAGCCGCGGACAGACCGAGAGATGCACACACACAACCATTATCTCATTATCTCCTGGAGGAATCTATTAATATAGTGTATCAATTATATAACAGTCACACGGGACATGTTACATTATACTTTTACTACATTCTCCTGATTATACTTGCATACTTTTACTGGAGTAACATTTAAAGCAGGATTTGTACTTGTTACAAAGTATTTTTAAAGCGTTTTTCTTCGATGTTTATTGTTTTCGGAACAAAACTCTTCAGCTGAATTTAGAGACTTACTATTGTTGCATCTCCACCAGCAAAGATACAGAGAACCATTAGAGAGTTCATTAAACCAGGTCGGAGGTCAGTCTTGTATCTTATCAGGTGACTTTCTGTGTTGTTGACTTGAAGCATGACATGTGAGCGGGCTACGCAGTAACTCTCTTTTACTGATTTATTGTAAATATACATATAAATATATAAGCAGGGGGAGTTAAAGTCAGAAATATGAACCAAAAAACACAAACCACACACTGTGAATCACATCAATCCATGTGATCAGCAATTCACAGTCCACATTCCTACTAAACCAGTTTGCCTAGCAGCACCTGTGCATTCTATCAACTGCTCTTTATGTCAAATTGTAGATGAACCTCATCTGTGTGTCGCCCTGAAATAATTTAATTTTTCATCCCTTTCAAGTGATGTGTGTACGATGGCGTGGTTGGGCTATTGTAGTTTAAGAAATGATGATTACAGAGCTGCAGGAGAGGCTTAATATTCAGAGAAAAATACTCTAATAAAGTTGTAAATTGAAACTTGGATATTCTCTGAGCGAATTTAAGAGGAAAAATAATTATAAATATTCTCAGAGATTTAAAAACATACATTTGCAAAATAAAAGCTAAGAAGCTCTCTGAGATTTTACAAGAAAAGTTTACAAAATTCATGAGAATATTCTCTTTGATTAAAGTCACAAATTCAGAAAACGTCAAGATGACGGGATTTCACATCTACTGTGATGTGTCTTAGTCTAATGTTGATCATCTGAGCAGTCTGAGCTGCTTCAGGACTGATTGGAGGTAAAATAACGTGCAAGATCTGTTCAAAGGTTTGTAATCAACTGTTATTTTAATCTTTTTCTTCCTCTTTTTGTTCTAACAGAGACAAAAACTGTATAATCCAGACACCAAATGTATCATTTATATTTGCATTCCCAGTTCCGGGAGCCTGGATCATGATTGAACTCTAATACTGAGAGTCTCTCTGATTGAGGAGCTTTAACTGTGATTTATTCAGATATTCAGATCCTGCCAACGCTCGACTAACCTTCTATTTCTATTGAAGAGCTTTGCCAAAGGAACACGTGGCCGTTGTATGGTGTGTTGAAGGCTGCTTTATTGTGAAACACAAAATCATTTTCTTATTCAAAATATTGTCTCTTTTAGTCGTCAGTCTGGTTGAAGCCTTGTACAGCTTTTTGATTCCATGCACTAAACTAAATAACTATTTGTAAAGAGCACTTTTCTACAAAAGCATCAAAGAACATCTGAATGGACACAGTCAAGGTTTCTATGGCAGCAGATTACAAACTTTTGAACGTTATATGTGCTCAAGTCAAAGAAAAGATCATGAAGAAACTGAAAAGTCAGCGTTAAACAGCAGGACGATCGGGACCTGTTGTCATTCCAGTAAAAAGCATTCGGTCCTCGTCACAGTCGTGTGGTGGTCAAAACTAAATCATAATGTAACTCACAAATATTATTTATTATTTATTTTCAATATTGTTATTTTCATAATTGAAAAGATGTGAAGAGATAATAAACGATGTGTTGCATTCAACTGAATGAAAAATTCAACAATGTGAAGTCAAGTTTATTTACAGGGCGCATTTTATACATACAGAAATACTCCTTCAGCCAGCGTTATTATTATGGGATGCCCGCTTTAGAGGCTCAGCATGATGGCGCTGCCATTTGTCTCCACGGCCCCCTGAGACGAAGGAAAACAAGAAATGCATCTCGAGCATCGTGTGATCCTTTTAAGCCTTGTGTGTGCGACTCAGAGGGGAGCTCAGCTTTTAAATAAGATCCTTCTGCACAAGTGAACATTCACTCTCCGGGAACCAGAGAGGAGCTTCTGCTTTCAATCACTGACGTCAGGCTGGAAAACTGAAATACATGTTGATGTTCACATGCAGGTTATGGAGTGTGACGGTACTGATGATGATAAGTGAAATCGTAGATGTAACACAGGACTAATATAGAGGTGGAAAGTACATTTACTCAAGGACTGTACTTAAAGGTGCAAAAGCCTCACAGCATTTCGTGAAATGTTAACAAAATGCAATCTATTGGTTTCTTGTACACTGTCACGTGTTGTGTTTCCTCCCCTCCCCCCACTTCCTTTCTCCTCCTCCTCCTCTCTCAGTTCTCCTACCAGGTCAATCGGGTGATTGGATTCCACCTGTGGGGGCCAGTTGTCCTGATTGGTGATTGGCACCAGCGGCAGGCTGGCCAATCGGCAGAGGGAGAGCCACAGATAAAAGGCAGGAAGCCTCGGAGTTCAGGGGAACGTCACTTCATACTGGGTTTATGTCACTTCTGAGAACTGAACTTGTTAGTGTTTGTGGTGAGAGGTTGCGGACATTTGGTGAGTCTGGGGTACATTGGCACACACGTAGGATTTTCTGTGTCTAGATACGCTAGGCTTATTGGTCGGTGCCTCATCTGTATTTGGGTTTTGGTCAAGCACATTTAGATAAGTTAGAGAAGCCATTTTGTTTGTTGATTTCAGAGGTTAGTTAGTCCAAGTTGTGTTATCTTTGTTTCAATTGTTTGGCACGACCACACCTGTCCCATCCTCTCCCAAATCTTGTGTTGAGACTCGCTCATGTTTAACTGTCAGTGAGCATAATAAATATTGTTTATGGTACACGAGCTATTTGTTTTTCTTTTGGGTTGTTTTGTGTTAGTCCCTAAATCCTTCCCCTGGACAACAGAAGGGATGTAACATACACGGACAAGAATTGTCAGTTTTTTCATGTCCCTCGGAACGAGTTTCTTTTCGAAACGACATGTTAAAAACAAAAGTTAGGTTTAGGCAACAAAATCACTTACTTGAATAAAGGAAACGCATCATGGTTGAGATAAAATAAGTATAGACAGTTAGGAATGTAGGCAACAAAACCAGCAGTTAGGTTTAATTCTGCCCAACAAACACTTTTACTTTAGATAATTTAGCTGTTAATACTTTTGTGTAACATTTTCCTTTTACTTAGAACGGAGTATTACACTGTAGTATTGCTACTTTTGCTTAAAACACATGACTCCACTACTGCATGTTGTGCAGTCAAACAAACTGTATTTTATAATCTACTCTCCAAAGAATGTAAAAGGTTCCTGATGTCATGTGTATGAAATGAAGCACCAGACATCCACAACACGTGCATCTTAATCGACTGGTTCAGCCAATTAAAGTCTCGGCCGTCGAGCGGCTTCAAGATGTGCAAGAAGCCGATTCTGAATATTAATGATGGAATCAGTTCAGTTTAATTACTGTGAAGCTGAAGGGGGAATCTGTGTGTTAGAAGCCTAAATAATGAAGCAAACATTCAGTATTTTCTCTCATGAAGAACAGAGAGGACTTTTTAATCCGTGATGTCACTTTAATGCACAGAGTGGGGGAGGGGGGTCAAAAAGGATCACCTAATTAGATGTGAACTTCCACGCGAGGTCCGTCTCTGCCTGCAGAACCGCTTTAGGGGAACCGTTCCCGTTCCTCATCTGGGTTTCTGGCTTCGCTGATTAGATTTAACATTAATAAACTAAAGCTGTCAGATAAATGTCGTACAATATTTCCCTCTGAGTTGTCATGGAGTACCTTTAGATGTGTGTAAATGTACTGAGTTACAGTCCACTGTGGTGAAAACAGGAAGCGGCTGTAAACAGCTCAATCAGAATAAAAACCTCTTTGAACCCCCGAACCCTTCGTCTCTACTTCCTGTTGTGGAGACACAAATCTGCATCTGTAGAGAAGAGGTCGCTCTCGTGAAGCAACATTATGCAGATGAGATTCATCGTCGTCCATCATCTCTCGTGTTATAAATAGAGAGCGTTCTCCACAGGCGCTGAAGAAGACCAATGAGCTGAGAGGGGAATGTTTACTGACAATAAAACACATCGTATTTAAGCAGAAAGTCCTTTTTTCATTTTAAATAATCTTTGAAAATATCCTTAGAGATAAAAGTACACTAGATATTGAAACATGAGTCTTTGACGAGAATAGTTGATGCAATATATCACAAGTGCTCCTGTTTATCATTAATAAGCACTGTATAAACAAAGTGTTAGTTTTAATATGTATTAAGTGTTTATTAACGTAATTGTTGAGGCTGTGTATAAACAATATATAAAACGCAGACGCATGTCTTCATAGGGAAAGTTATAATTGCTGACTGATGCTGCACATTCATCACCTTTAAAATGTATTTTTATCTGCTTGCAAATACATTGTGTTTCAAACGGAAGTAGTACTCACACATTTTACTTCAGTAAAAGTAGTAATACCATAAAAAGTAAAAAGTACAATATTATTGTACTACTACTACTACTACTATATTTCCCTCTGAATTGTAGTGGAGTCGCATAAAAAGGAGATACTCAATTAAGTGCAAATATCTCAAAATTGTACTTAAATACACTTGTTGAGTAAATGTGCATACCTTCCACCACTAGTTATAAACCGTATTAAATGTTTGCATTCTGCTTATAAATAATAAACAAATGAATTCTCTCTATATATTAGAGGAGTTGCATTCTGGCCAATAACTGAATTACTCCACAGTTATTAAAGTGAGAGCAGACTCATGTGCAGCCTGATGATGACGATGATGATGACGATGATGATGACGATGACGATGATGTTCATGTGATGTCTCAGCGCCATCTAGTGCTGCTTCACTACAACCACAGGAAGACGTTTCCTCTGTGTTTTCAGCCTTGAAATAAGAGTTTTCCATTACAAAGAAGAGGATTTAGAAACATTCAGAGGGTGGTGAGGAGGAATGAAGCTTGTCAAAAAGATCAAATGCAATTAATAAAAACAATTTTAAAGTCATTGTGGATGCTGAGAAAGTTCATGTGTGAAGATGAGAGAAATATTGAGAGTTTGCAGAAAGAATGAGAATAAAGAGACGAGATGAGGGAGGGAAAAGCTCTAGATTTGGTACATAAACACCCAGATGGAGCTAATATACAGTATATACTGTATATATATATATATATATATATATATATATATATATATATATATATACACTTTGTACACTCAGTGTGTTTTTCTTTTTATACAATCTGTAGTAACAATGTTGAGCGGAGCCAGCAGCTGTGTCACTGATTATTGTGCATATGACAAATAAAGACAACGTTAAAATGTTCTGATTAAATACAACTACATCTTGAGGTAAATAAAACTTGGTGAATATTGTTTAGGTCTTCACTCCACCATAAATAAATGACATGGAACTTTATACCTTCCCACTATAAACCAAAGTCTCTCTCCATTCCTATACTGTATATCCACCACAACTACTCAAAGTGACTTCTATATGTATATAAGGTTTTATATACAAGTAACTGTATATGTTGTTTGATTTTATTCTATTCCAATTTAAATATTTGTGTATATGTTTGATGTGTGACGCATGAAGGGACTACAAATAACATTACCAAAAAATCAACCTTCTAACTTTGTGTCACTCCTTCATTTTCCATACGTGTTTGCTCTATAGATTAAAAAAAAACATCTTCTTATTCAGGCCGTTGTTGCTAAACTGCCAATTGAACTCAGTATTGAGCTGTGGATGTGACTGAGAGAGGCCAGACTTACCGACTTGATGTGCTATTGAAAAAAACAATGTTGGAAGAAATACTCAGATCCTTCGGTAAACTTAGCAGTACCACAGTGTACGAATACTCTGTTACAAGTACAAATCCTGCATTCAAACGTAAAAGTACAAAATTATTGCCAGCAAAATGCAGTTAAAGTATCAAAAGTGAAAGTATATGCACAATGCAAAGAGGCTCCTTTTAGAGCCTTCAAGGTCCCGAAAGCTGTCTTATTTTTTTATCTATAATAATTTCTGCACACAAGTTATTATCCTTTGCAACAAGATAATATATTTTTCAGGACTATAGGGGCTCTCCTAGATCTAATCAGCATCATAACTGAAAACACCTGAGAGTGTATGCGGGGCCTTTAATATATAATATGTTTTCATATGTAAAATCAAAGCAGCTGTTCAATAGATATAGTGACACAGTGGTGTGATTAGTATCAGCAAAGTATAATAATATGACACACCAACTATAACAGTGTACACCAGCACTTTTCCCCCAACCTAACATATAGAAGTGTATTCACAAATGATCAAATTACAAATCTATGGCCTCATGACGAGAAATCACTGAAATTAAAGTAACACTAACGCTCACAAAGAGGAACAACAGGCCTACAGTTATATTAGAAGATACATTATTCATAAACAATATAGCTTAAAATCTGTAGTAATATTTGTGAATGTTGAATACAATTTGAAGAAATATAAAACATTACCTAGTGACTTGCCACCACTGGCAAAAAACAGATATTCAATCCACCACTAGCCCAACACTGCATCACTCATTTCATATTTCCACCCATCCTCTGTCCCTCTTGTCTCCTGTCTCCTGTCTTCTCGGCTCCAGCTTCAACTCCACTCTTGTAAAGGACACATCTCCTCTTTTATGTCTCCTGTCCTACTTTGGGGTGAAAGATTGAGGAACCAGGACCTCACTAATCTCATCCCACCACCACAACCACCATCAACAGCAGGAGCTGCACAGCCTGTTTAGCATCTGATGCAATTAAAAAATCAAATGAAACATATTGAACCAACTCATTTGCAGCAGTCTGCGTCATCTGCTTGTTGTTTACAGCGTGTTGAGAAATAGAGAGGTTTATTTTGCTGGTAAAGTCCCAAAGACAAAGCAGTAAAAATATGAGATATTGTAGTTACATTGAGTGAAAAACACACCGGTCTGGACTGAGTAGCTAGCATGCAATGCAGTGTAAACAGCACTCATGTAATGGTGCATTAAAAGCAGCCATTTTATTAATAATGTGGAGGTTGTGAAGTCGTATTCTAATGAAAAAACTATATTTTTGGAACTTTCGTCCCACATTTCCGCTGTACGGGCATTTGCTATGACGGACAGCCGTGGGGAGCCAATAGGAAGCCTCGATTAGAAGTGTCGACCAATGGGAGCTTAGAGGAGGGCGGTTGTTATCAAGTCGTAAACGGTTAGTAACACAAGCAGGTAAGTAAGATTTTGTCTTATTTTCATCTACAATTAACCAACGCTTGTCGGAGAAACGACTCGTTGCGGTTAAAAACTATCGGCTGTTCGATTTGAGCGGGTTAGGGGTTTTTTTGGGACACTTTTTCTGCCCAAAAAAAGAAAAGAAACGGCAGTCATTGAGAAGTCAGTATGAAACAGGCTAAAGCTAGCGTTAGCTTAGTCCGCTAGCTAAGTTGGCTTGTTATTTAGCCGTTAGCTCGCGACGTCAAACGTTAGCATTGGGCTAACGTTAGCTTCTCATCTGGAAAGTACTGTTTAAGTGTACCACGTTAAATCACTGGCAAAGCATTCCGGTCCATAAAGAAACACACCTCGTCGTAACTTTACTTGTGTATTCAAGAGCTCAGTGTTGACGTTATTCAACATGTAAAACACTTTTTCATTATGAATTTGCAATGATAACGTTAACATTAGCACACTAGTTAGCGTTAGCTTGCTAGCTGGACGTAAAAAAAAAAAGCCCCGAGAGTCAAGTTAGTAACTCTGATTATATTATAATAATCTTTATTTATTATACAATAATTATAATTGTTTTTATTTATAATACAATAACTATAGTAATGTGTAATATTATGTATTTACAATACGATAATTATTATAATATTCTTTATTTATTATACAATAATTATAATAATATATCATATTATTTATTTACAATACAATCATTGTAGTAATATATAATCTTTATTTACAATACAATCATTATAATAATATATACTATTCTTTATTTACAAAACAATCACTATAATAATATATAATATTTATTTCCTGATATATTATTTATTTTATTATTATATCCATATACATATTATTTACAAGGAATTTGACATGGTGGATAGTGCATAACATTAAACAATCAACACACTGCAAAAAATAATAAACATTAAAATGTACAATAAAACATAAAAGATGCACAAACAAAGAGATAACAGTACTTTAAACTAGTATAATGTGAGTGTAATGTAAAAGTGTCATCTGAAGAGTTTGAATGAACTAATATTTGTTTGTGTACACTTTTTGTTATTTTTAGGTGTCATGTTGTCTTCATGTGTGGTAACTGGAATTATGGCCCCTTGGATTATTGAATGGAGGATTTCAACAATGAAGATAAAGGTAATTCTAAACAGTAGTCTGAGGGGTGAGATTGTGGACATCAATTTTAAATAATTTTCCGAACAGGCAGATGTCGATTGTAGTACTCTCTCTCTCATTCACACATTACTTCTTTATCATGCATGTCTACTCTGGTAGTCTGATAGACCTGTAAGAAGTAAGTGGCATGCATTCATTTGGATTACTCAACAGTCACAAACAATGACTCAACACAACATTGAAAACGTCTTTCCTGAGAATCTTCTAGTGCACAGGAAGTAATAGATATCTGTTTATTTAAAAGTCATATAATATAAACAGTCACAAAATGAAAAAGAAGTCGAGAAACAAAACATTTCAATGATCTTCAGCAGTATTTTAAAAATAACTTCTCTAAAAGGATTGCTTGAATTAAAAAACACAGGTACTAATACTTATACCTTCCTACACAAGTACTTATTATCCCTTTACAATATGTATACAAAATGGGAGAGATCTATAAATTACTACGTGTAATATAACATCCCCACCACTGCCACGCCATAATACCACTAGTATCATGAATACAAAACAACACCCAGCCCTATTTTAATGTTTGCATGTTTTATATCACTCTGAGGCTGCAGATTGTGGTGTTGTTGTTGTGCATTATTCAATATAATATATTGTTATGTCATCTTAATCCGCTTAAACACAACCAACAACCTCTCACACAGACAAAATCTCAAAGGCCAATGTATAAACTTCAATAATAATGGTATCTTTACTATTTATTTCCGACCCCTGTAGTTTTTAGTGAACAGTGTTTTATACAAATGTAGTCCCCCCCACCCACCCTGCTGTTACAGGCCTTATGGTGCTGTATTATATTCGGGCTATGGCTGCAGAAGAGCTCCCTCTAGTGGCCACTGGAGACAGTGTTGCTGTGGTGGTGGGCGGTCTAGTTCCTGTTAAAAGTGACAGAGCCGGACTGTCTCGACTCGGTTTTGTTTTTCTCAAAGGGAGCATAACGATAATATTATTATAATCATAATATAGTTATTTAGAAGAGAAAACCAGTAAATTGTCATGTGGATATATATAAAGAAATGTGGTTAAAGTGAAAGCATAATACGATATTTACTGGTGGAGGAGTCATATATATATATATATATATATATATACGTCCAGTATATATATACGTCCAGTTCAAGCACCTTTTAACACTAATTAGTGCTTGAATATCACTGCGCCATGTTTTGTATCAAAGACACAAAACACCCTCCTGTGATATATATATATCTTCTTTCTTTTTTGAGCTTTTTATGTCGTTTCTTATCTGCCCTTTACTCTAGTGGCGAGTAGGAGAAATGTCTCCCGCCTACCAGCAAGCACGCAACACACACACAATACACACAGCCCTCCTGTTTGTCAGACTCACAAATCCGAGGGAGAGGAGCTAGCCGCCATTTTCTAAGCGTCTCTCCCTAAAAAACGAGAGAAAAAGGGCTCGCGACAAAAAAACCTACCATCTGGATTTTACCCTATTCGCTTTACGGAGAATCGCGTTTTTTTCCCGGTAAAGGATTACCGAGAAATCGGCCACGTTTGAAGTAAATCGCGCGGTAGAAAACGAGTGTTTTTGCGGCCTTGTCGTTTTATATATTCTTGCTGCTTGCTCGTTAGCTTGAAGCTAGCTGGTCGAGCTAAAGGTGTAGATCGTTGAATCCGGAACGAGACTTCCGAGCGACTCGCGTCAAACTGGGCCTTTTTTTTTTGGACATCTGGCCTCCTTTTTTTTTTTTTTTTTTTTTTTTTTTTTTTTTTTTTAAGTTAGTGGGGGGGATATTAATTAATGGCAGAGTGATCGATAGCGATCCTCAATCGGGTCTTTTTTTCCTCCATTAAAACTGCAGAGGGATTGTTACCGAAATTCCCTCGGATAGTGTGCAACCTCGTCACGTGGTAGGTTCCTCCTTTTTCTTTGTTAGCGAGCTATAGCTACAGAGAGACGGGGTCTACTCCCTACACTTTACACATTTATGTGCATTTAACCCACTATTTTAACCCACTATTTGATTAGCTAACGTATCAAAGCACGGTCGTGTGCAACAACAGGCCTGTCTGTCTTTATTCCCGTAGTCTAATCACAATGCACACCATGTCTCACGCTCTGCAATAATCAAAGATAAGTTATGAGGTGTTTTCTCTGGTTATTATGGACGGTACAGTACCCGGATGTAAACCCTTTGTATACGTTTAATACATATCTCTTTGGTCGTTTTTTGGGGGGCTTAAACTGTCACTGATGTTGAGCGTATGCTACGTAGTCGGTGACAAACAACTCTATTTTTTGCGTAACGTTTAACGTAAAAAAGCATATAGACCCTTAATGTGATGAGTGTTGGAAACGTTTCACTGCAGTTGGTTTTATGGGTTATCCGCACGCGCTAGCTTCACGAGCAGGTTGTGTTTCTTGCATCAGCAGCTTTTTACCTCCTCGAGCTAACTAACGTTAGCCAGCAGCGACGCGCATTAATCTGCACGCAGTGTGTAAAGTGACACGGTTTAGAGAAGATATCTATCTTTTCGGTTATTGGGGAGGTTTGTTTAATGTGGGGGATCGATGGTGGTTGCTGATTATTATTTTTATTATTACTGTACTCGATACAAAACACACACGCTGACTGGTCCGATCTGTGGTTTTCAGCGGAAGCTAGTGAGAATTCAAGATTACGAAATATCACACCTCGTATGCATATAAAACAGGGACGCCAGCCAGCATGACCTTTTTATTTAATTTAAATGTACCAATGTGTTTTTGTAAACACCAGGAAGACATTTTGGTGGTTACGTTATGGTTGGCTAACGTTTTTTTTTTTTGTCGCATCTCTATCTCCAGACAGAGACTCTGTGGTGCTACAATGCATGTTGATTTATAGCGATGCTATTTACTAACATTACTCCTTTTACTGTCCTCTCTTTATGGCGTGAATGAGTTCTGCGTGTTTACAGTGGAATGGGCGGGTTTTTTAGACAGATGAATTGCATAATGATCTGCTTCTGAAATACCAACATGGCGTAGTGACTAGAAACTGCGGTGAAATACTGAGCCCTCATTCATCTGAGCCTGCAGACGAGAGGAGGGGATGCAGCTCGCTTTTATCTCCTTTTATTTGAAGGGAGGCTCCTATTAAATACATATAATATGGACATATAGGCAGTCTGTGTGAAGGACATGTGAACCACTGAATAAATAGTCATTTTACATATTTAATTAAAGATTAATTTCCAGGCACTCTTATTTTTTTGGGGGGGGGGTGTGTGAAATTGGGTGGTTCAGCTTCAAATTGACCAAGAGTCCGCATGACATCATGTGCTATGTGGACTAATGCTTTGGGCCTAAATCCACCTACTTTACACAGTGTCCTGGCTCCTGTGTGGACTTAACACATGTAGGGCAGTGGGTTTTTTTTTGGCGATTTGCATTGGCTTTCCCTGTTTCTTCAATCCACCAGAACTCAATTTCTTTAAAGAGGAGCCGTCTAAGTAAGTGACAATGAAGGCTTGTTTCACACGAGTATGGGTGTAGTGGGAATTATCTGTTGGAGCTCAGATGTCTGGTGTTATTCCATCAGTATCAGGAGCGTTTCACTCACCAAGGTCAGTGCATACCAGTCATTCTTTGGGACTCTATTGAAGTCTTTTGGATTAGGGCCTCTGTAGATAAATGCAATATCTTCATACAACATTTTTGGGAGTTTTGTGAGAAAGACAAGAGTGAATGTGATCATCTGAGATGTTGCCTCTCTTCATTTTTAAGCAACACTTCCAACCAGTAGGTCAACAAAATGTCAACGGACACCAGGTCATTTGACTAGGCCTTTAACTTTATTAGTTGTTTGCATTTGCTGTAGCTTTGTACGACCCGTAGTGGTACTACTGCGTTTTCATTGATCATATCTGAAAACGCATATTTTAGAAATGCCACATGCCTTTTCTTTTAGATGCTTGTTAGTACATTTCCACTCCCCCTTAAAGCTTACAGAACCTGTAGTGCAAGTATTTCAGTTGTGTTTTATGTTATAGAGACGGTTGTCATGTTGTATTTCTATGAGGAAATTATCTTTCTTTATTGATATACCATTTGTGTTTAATGATTTTGAGTCCACTTTACTCTAAAGCTCTCTCCCTGCAGCCTTTCCTTTAACCTATGTTTAGTCAACAGTCATTACTTGATTTGCCTTCTGAATAAATCTGAGTGCACTAATACAAATTCAGCTCTTGTCGAGCTTCATTATTAAATCAATTTAAACATGTTCTAGGTAGTGTCTTTTGTGTCTGTTTACACTCCATCACCGTTCAAGGCTTTGAATGTTACCTGGGAAAACATCTCCACACCACCTAGGATCAGGATTTGATATAGTTTAATGTTTTATTCCTTGTCTCCCCTCTCTGTTTGTCCTCGTCCCATCCAGGCTGTCCTCAGGTGGGGCAGTAAGCGGGTGGTGTGCAGCAGGCCGCGGTGCCCGTCCCTCTGCACTGCATGGCTGCGATGGCGCCCGCTCTCACCGACGCCCCAGCCGAAGCTCACCACATCCGCTTCAAACTGGCCGCCCCGTCCTCGAGTCTCTCACCGGCCAGTGCAGAGAACAACGGTAACGCCAGCAACATCCTCATCCACAGCGGCGGCCCCGCCAAGTGCAAGGCCGCGTCCGACGAGTGCCCTCTTGACTTTTGCGTCGGAGACCAGGAACAACAACAGCAGCAGCAGCAGCAACAGCCTCAAGCCGACTCTGTGGCTCAGGCAAAGCTCCAGCCGCTGGTGGCTTCTTACCGCTGCTCTGATGTGACACCTGTCCCGTCAACTAAGGAGTCAATCAAGCTGCAAGGTGTCCTCATCAAACAGTCCGTGTTGAAGAACCACAGAATACTGCCCGGCTCCGTGCTCAACGGCGGAGGAGACTTCCTGTTGAGGAAGAGGCAGGCGATCGAACTCTCCGGCAGTCAGCTCAAAAGCCTCATGAGCGGCAGCACTAACGGAGGTGACCAGCCCATGGCGCCGGTCAACGGCCTGGCCAAGAAGCTGGCCACCATGTCCGGCTCCGGCTGCGTGGTGGCGATAAACGGTGACAAGCAGTCCGCCCCCGCCACAGACTCTCAGTCCCAGAAGCTGCCCTTGGATTCTGAGACCTTATCGGGGAACATCCCGGTGAAAGGAACCCTTAAACAGAAGCATTCCTCTGGGGTTTCTCAAAATACAGACGGTAAAAACCTTGAACTACCAGTGCTCCAGGCTAATGCACTTTACCCCCTTACCCACGACAACCCTAACCCCGCTGAACAGGTGAACTTGGAGGAGGCTGATTCTCACACGTCTACCAGTCAGCCACAGGGTTCTGATCGGGAGCGACCCGGTAGCAGTCAGCAGGGCTCCCCGTCTTGCACACTTCAGCCTCCTCTCCCTTGCACCTCTTCCTCGGAGAGCCTTGACGCTCACGTAAAAGAGCGCACCCTTCTCAACAGCAGCCGCCAATCCGAGATCGAAAGCCGGCTGCGGCGCCTGCGCAAACGTCTCCAGGTCGTGCAGGCCAAGCAGGTGGAGCGGCACATCCAGCAGCAGCTGGGCGGTTTCTTGGATTCGGCTCTCAACCGGCTTCTGGTCAGCAACCGCAAGTCGGAGACGGCGACCCCTCCTACGGCGACGTGGAGGACCGGACGTCACTCTTCTTCTTCAAACAGCAGGGACGGCCTCGGTCGCTTCCTGAAAAGCGGCTCCATGCCGTTGGAGCTGGAGAGGCTGTATTTGAGCGGCTCGGCCAACCTCCACTCTGCAGAAAGCGCCTTTGACTCGGACGTAACGGAGAGTAGCTCTGGAGGAGACTCTGACCTGGAGGAGGAGGAGCTGACCAGGGTGGACATTGAGCAGCGACATGTCAAAATGTAAGTACAGCGAGCTTATTTAGAGCTCGAAACAAAGCAGTGAAAAAAGGTTTCATAGGAAAACTCTACAATAAGATTAATTCATAGTCGACTATATGCTTCTGTGTCACTTCACACATGTAACTCGCATTACTCTCATATTTCCATTAGTGCTTTTCAACTGCCCTGTGAAAGTCCCTGTATTTCTGGGCCCTGCAATATGCTACTCAGGCTTAGCAGGTGCTAATGACAATTATAACTGCTTCAGTAGTTGGTTGGGTCAAACTCCAGGGAGGGGTAGAGATACCATGTGTGGGTGGTATCATCCACAGGCCGGATTGGACTGTAAAAAAGCTCTAGAGCCGAGGCTAAAACTGAACGCTCTGTTTAACTGCAGAGCCAACAAGCAACAACCCACAGAGCCGACGAATGTTTTGATTTAAACCGAAACCAACGAGGAAACGTAGCGTAAAAACGTAGGGGTGTTTTTATGGTTTTTCTGTTGTTTTTTTTTACTTGCGGCCTATTGTGATGTCAGGCTTGCTTCAGCAGGAGCATGCACATTTATTCCATGAGGAGTTGATATAGGCGTAGTCATTTGTGTGTCATTGGTGTTTGGAGTGGGGGGGGTGTGGGTCAGCGGGCGGGCGTTAATGGACTTACTGACCTCTGACCTAGGATTGGGTAGATTATTAACAACCATAGCCAAGAACACAGATTTGTATTATCCTTTCCTGCATTCACTTTAGACCTTTGACCGAAATATCTTCATAACGGTGTGCGTGTGTGTGTGCGCGCGCGTGTCTGACATGCATGATCCGAAAGTAGAAAAATCGCTTGTGATATATTCATACTGTCTCATTTTAGGTCAACGGGGGTCTTGGAGCAGTTTGTGACAGTGAGCTACATTTATGTGGCCTGAGATTGTAGGAGGAGTCAGAGTCATATTTATACTATATTTATATTTGTTTTGAATTGAGTCATAACTAAACTACGTTTATTTATTATTTCTAACTAAGTGATCATTGATATCACATGACGTGTGCATCCCAATATTAATTGTTACGATAACATTTAATATTGTTTAGCTATTTGTTCATAATGAAAGTGAACGCTGTACTTATCTAGAGGGGGTTTTACAAATGGAGACCCGTAGAAGTTGGAGGTGCTTTCCACATTTAGTGAATCTCTTTTAGTCTTATTATGAATGAGATCATCGACGACCTGATGATCCAACCTGGAACAGGAGACATTTTAAATACTATGTTCTCATTGAATTAGGAGCATATTCTTGTAGATGAAATCTATTTGGCTAGGAACAAGAGTATTTACATAAATACACCTCATAAATACAAATACCTCACGGTTAAAGGCTGCATCATTCATGGGCCATAAAGGTGTTCATGAATGGGGGATTATTTATGGTTGTGTGTAAGATTTAACTCGTTGTCATGCTTCAGCACAGATGATTGTGTCGTACATTATCAAGCAGTGTTTTATTTTACTCGTGCTCCTGCTCTGATGAAAAGCAGCCAGCTGTGGTTGTTTGCTTTTAATCGGTGCATTTAGAATGACCTAGATGTAGTTCCATACACGAGAAAGCATCTGAAATACACATTTACCAGCAGGAATATGACTCCTCATTGCTGCATTTCTCTCTAATCTTGACCAAGCTCCCACTCTAATGGCCTTAAATAAACAGGAAAAACTACTGGTTACAAGCTGCAGTTTATCTTCTGGTTCAGTGACTCATCTTGTTCCTGCTATACCATGAAAGCCGACCATTGTGATGGTTTTTATTGTGAAGCAGGTACAGCTTCTTGCAACATTAGTCACTGGGTTAGCAAATGCTAAGTCCTCAGTGCGTAAAAATAAATAGGTCTCTGTACATCTGTGGATGTGATTACTAGGGTAGGACAATCCTTTTGATGGTTGTAGCTTTAAAAATATTAGAACCGTTTAAGCTTCCTGCAATTTATACAAGAGAGAACATTTTATTTAAAATGGTTAAACAATAAGTCCATGGGTCTCAATCCAAGTCATATCCATAGCTAGAGCTGTACTAAATAGTTTCCTATTGCTTCATCATAATGTTGACATTCAAATTATTATATTTGCGTGCAGTCGTCCACTATCTCTTCCCCTCTCTCTGCCACTCGCTCTCTGTCTAAAAGTCTGAATTTCTTTAAAAGAATACATGTTTTTACAGTAGGAAATATGCTGCTTTATTCCACATTTGTTGGTGTTTAGATGCACGCACCTGTATTAAATGGGGCGGTCTAACAGCACCATAAATAACATTTATACAACCACAATAACACAATCATATTTTCAAAGCTTCATTCAAAAATTGTAGATCTTCAAATGTAAAAAACAGAATCTTTAGGTAGGCCTGCTCTCAGATATTGAAGTGTGCATATTAACTTTATATTTCCTTATGTCAGCCTGGATGTCTCAACATCCTGTAGCATGACGTTAGCTTTGGTTTGCTCCGCTCGTATTTAGCTTAGCTTAGCACGTAAACAAGACGCACGTCACGTGTGTTACATCTGTTGCGTTCAGGGGCAGCAGTACGGAACTTTTTTTCCTAGTTTGTGTAGCCGAGGATTAGCGTGAGGGTTGGGCCTACACTTTATATAGATAATAGAATATTAACATGGAAGCTCTGTACGCCAAAGACAACAACAACACTGCTTCACTTCTTTCATTCCACCTTTTAAAATCATGTCCCCGGACACATACTCTGAAACACTGCGTACTAGAGAGAACTTTAAGTCATCCAGAGCCTTCACTAAGAGGTAACTTAACAAAAGAGCCAACACTAGTTGTGTAAACATAGCGGACAGAGCAGATAGAAATGTCACTTTCTACATGTTAACATCATACTAAAGCCACAGTTTTACATGTTACAATATACTATATAGGTGGAATAGTTTGTGCAGACAGGAAACCTCAAAACACGACAGTTAAATTGCTTTTGTACACCTTAATATGAGGCTGGATTTGTTTTGTTAAATAATTACAATAGTTTCTTCCGACCAGGTGTACTACAGTATTGCATGGTTAAATGTAATAGAGATGAAGTTACTGTAATACATTAGCCTCTGGTTGTGTATTTAGGTTCAATGCTTTTGGTTATAACACCACCATATGAGTAAGCTTTGAATTATTTTAATAATTAATCAGTAATTATAATCTTTAGATTCTGACCCACATAGGAGATGTTTTAAAGCGACCCAATGTCATCTTTCACTCATAAAGATAGCCACACCTGAGCACACTTGACAACACGTTCAGCCATGTTTTGTAATGTCACAAGAGTTATGTTTATTATAAAATTTTAGCATAATAAACCAGGCTTATGGAGCTATCTTAATTGGCACAGTTCTTGATTTAGCCGTGTTTTGAAAGGTCTTTCTATCGCTGTCACAGAAGCATCCATTACTTACGGGGTTTAGCCAACATTTGCAAAGTGGAAGCACACGTAAACCTTCTGTAATGCCTTTCTAAGCAGCCGTCTGATGCACATTGTATAATTATCCACCGCTCAACAAGTAAGAAAACAGGTTCTCAGGTCGTAAACCAGCAGAGGAGCAACTTTCCCTCATTGTAAACGTGTTGGTCTACCAGGAAGTTGAGTGTGTGAGAGAGTGTGTGTAACCATAATGCCACATTTTCAAAACTGACAATTTTGTCTTCAGTTACCAATTAATGTCTTACAGACACTACACCAGTCAACACTACAGACAATGTAACGTCTTATTCAGGCAGCAGAGCCTCAATTATTCAACGTATGGAAAACAACCTATTTGGGTTGCTTGTTTTGGATGCAACGCTTGTTGCTTACAACTAATCCCGTCATCCACACTGTAGACGTGGTTTCCCGTATCTCAGAGAGAGGATTTAGGTGGCCGGGCAACATCTGTTGTCGTGCTTTAATGCTGCACGGCCTTTCTGCTCTAGTGTCTGTCTGTGAATGTGACACAACGGCCTCCAGCAGGGGAGTTAGTGCTGCTAGTTTCAGATACAAAGTCTACAAAAAATAACAGTTAATGCATTCATTGAGTTCCCTTGAAAAGTCTGTCCATGTAGACATTGTTACATGGAGCTCAGGTTGAGAAATGAGTGGAAACAGTTGTTTCTGAAGCAACAATAATGCTCATCAGGAAATCTTCAGAGCTTACATGAAGGCTCATGGACAGAATCAGGAAAATTATCGGCAATTATGTCATCTGCACCACGGTTTGCAGGCTTTTTATTGTCTGTCTGATGATTAAAAACTACGGCTCAGAGGATCAGAGTCCATGTTTGTGTGTCCATACAAATTCCTGTCGGCCGGCTCAGCATTACTCTGCAGTCTGAGGAGTGTGTATTTATGAATGTATGTGTTTCTGTCCCGTTTGACACATCTGGATGTGTTTTAGTTCCTCAACACGAACCCACAGGCGTTACATAACACACCCCCCCCCTCTTTTATGTAATGACTGCTGCAGCTCTCCGGCTGAATTTGCCCTCTCTTGTTTTGTCCTTCCTCTCGCTCAACTATTCCAGCTCCTGAGCAGTTTCTAAGTTTAACCAGCTGTCCTGTGAAAACATAACGTATTTTTCAGTTTCTCCCGAAGTGTCTGGATGATTATCGGCTCTTTGAAAATCCTTGACTCTGGAGAACAAAGCATTTAAAATGACAACTACCGCTCTGATTCCCCCTCGTTCTTTATTACGACGCATGAATTAGGAGTGAATGGTTTGTGAAGCAGACGTTTGCAAAGTGGTTTTGTTTATTTTTTGGTTTCTTATGGAGCGGTAGAATGTGAGCCGTTGTTTTGCTTCCTCAGCCTATTCCTTCTGGAGGATTTTTGTCCACGGAGCTCGGGTTTCAGAATGTGAACATTGGGTGTGATAGTCATTCTTTGCCTCCATAATGTTCAGAAAATAACACCATGAGTCAGTTAGGTCTCAGTTAGTCCTGTCTGTTAATATCGAGTATGTTGTTGATCCTAATACAAAAGTTCCCTCTTAATCCATGTAGCTACACAGTGCACCATAGCTCAAATTAAGCTAATTCAGTTTAGTCTGGCACCCACTAACTGCCTTTATAAAATACATCACAGCTTGGCTTTAATGTCCTTGTGTAAACAACTGTTTTGTAAGGTCCGTAAATATAGTTTTCAAGGTTTATGACTCGTTGAACTATTGTTGCAGGACATACATGGACTTTAAAATCCAGTTTTTTAATTAACATCTGCACTTAAGAGTTGTGACACACCAAACCTTGATGAAACAAGGAAAGTGGGACAAAAGCAAGCAGCACTTTAAACTAGAACTTGTACATCAACGTGTCCGAGGAGACGGCTGAACACAGGTCCAGCGGTGGACATAAGTCACTGCATACTTTGGGCTGTTTAGAGGCAGTTTAATGACTTTCAGGCATCATAAAAACGTGAAAAACTCTCGAGATCCAGTGTTTGTTTTGTCCCCTCTGGGCTTCTGTAGAAACATGGCGGTGCAACACATCTTGAAATAGAGTGCTTATTCTAATAACTTCAAACAGAAAAATCTAAAACTGTATTATATTTGGAGAGCTTTTGAATAGTGTTGCATGCCTGAGGAGGCTTCCCATTTGATAACTGTGGAAGTAGTATATCCCGATAAACATGCAAAATGTCTTTTGTAGTTGAGTTGTGGAATAAGGTATAATATGTCTGTCAGAGTCCTGAGTACTTATACCTCCTATAGGTACTCGGAGTATGTCGGAGCCCTTGTTTCTGAGTACTTATACCTCCTATAGGTACTCGGAGTATGTCGGAGCCCTTGTTTCTGAGTACTTATACCTCCTATAGGTACTCGGGAGTATGTCAGAGCCCTTGTTTCTGAGTACTTCCTATATACAGTGGACTTACACGTTACATCGAGTGTACAGCATAACGTTAATCGAAATACTCCAGTATTCCCAAACACACACAGTGAAGTAGAGAAGGCAGAAAGATGCTGAAATTGTTGACAAAAATGCACTTGATTTGGCGTTTAAATGGTGATAGAAATGTGATTTTTGTGGCTTCACAACATGAAAAGAGCTGAAGGAACATCCTGCGTGTCTTCTCTGTTCATGGTACATTTCCAGTGGGAAGGTAGACGGTCAGCTGGCTCAGAGGCCTGATGGGTTGGGGGGGGGGGGGGTTTGGGTCACGTGGTGTATGTATATACTATATATGTATATACTATGGTACGGGGGTATTTCTCAATGCCACTAACTGACTCCTCCTTAAGGCCACTGCACTTGTAAAGGCCTCTTGTGTGTGTTTATGTTTCACTAAACTGTACTTTTAGCTCTTCCTGCTTCCCTTTTGTCACTGTGAGTTTGAGTTTTCCACCCTTCAGTTATTCATTTGAATACACCTGGTACGTGTAGTCTACATCAGTCCATAGATAGATGGCCCCAGGCCTGGAGGATCCACGGCACTATACATTCTCCTTAAAACCTTAATTTCCCCTTTCTCTTTATCCGGTCTTACCGGTGGTGGAAGAAGTACCCAGATCCTTTTCAATGTAGAGTATTTCCACACTAGTATTGCTGTTTTACTTTTTTGAAGGCGCAATGAGTAGGATTTTCCTTAAAAAAAACAAAAAAAAACAATGTATACACTCGTAAAAATATTCCTTTTGTCTGTGAAAAGCACAAATTTGAATGTGTTTACAAACCGCAACTGACAAATTCTACTTTGTGCCTTTTTTAGAATAAAAGTTAAAAAGGATTTGCCTCAAAATATACTGTTGGTACCAAAAAGTATTAAATTTGAAGAATAGCCCAGTTAGGAATAATGTATATTATTGGATTATAATTATTAATGCACTCATGTACCTCCCTTACTGATAAATGTGGGGCCAGTCTTTACTTTTTTAAATATATATTGCTTGTGAATTTCCCCGTGCGGGTCAATATAATCAGTATAGTTCTTTATAGATTATATTTTGACTCCATTCACTAACTAGTAACTTAAATTGTCAAATAAATGCACAATATCTGCTTCTGAATTTTAGCAGAGTAGAAGTATAAAGTAAAATGGAAGTACCTCAAAATAGTACTTTAGTAAATGTGTCTTGTTGTCTCTTTGCTGTGACTTTTGTTGACGGCCTTACTCGAGGTTTGTAAGCTGGCCAATGCATGCTGGGACATCTTCCCTGTCAGAGAGAGTTTGAATCTCCTTGAGATCATTTTTCCACTTCACCCTGAAGGGCGTGAACACCTGGCCTATATATCCTCTCGCTCTCTTTTTGGTGGATCAGCTGTCCACCCACCACCGGGTGAATCATGGCACACAGACTCGGGGCTCAGCACCAAATTTGTGCAGTAAAATTGTGCGACACCAGTGTTGTTTCTCTGTTGAGTCTCTATGGAGGTTGATTACCAGTGCATTGATCTGATGCACCAGCAGTCATGGGCGTGTTCAGGAGCGTTGCAGTGTTTTAAAAACATCCACCACCCAGTGTGTACGAGCAGCACATGTTTGTTAATCGGTGCTCTGAGCAGGTAACACTGCAGCTGTCTTTGCAGCCGTGTCCTTGATGCTGTATTGCAGTGAACGAAGCCCTAGGTTGCCGAGTAAAAGGAAAGGAGTCGAGACGTCTTGGTCTCCTTTTTACGCTCGGCTCCACAATAAGACAGGATGTCTTCTCCACTTCCTCCATCCTGCTGGTGGAGCTCTGAAAATTGAAAACAGAGACGGGGTGTGTGTGGAGAGGAGGCCGTGCAGTGAAAGGTCTATCTTAGTCTGCCATCTGAGTCATTTTTCTCCTTCATTGTTCAGCCTGTATTTTGATGAAACAGCGCCCTCTGTGCTCGCTGCTGCACGGTGCAAAGAGCAGACATTTTCCTCTCATGTCTGCCTTTTGAAAAGGCCCATTCTGTGTGTCATACTGGTAAAATGGAGTACTCTGCTCTCAGCTGGCACTCACTGTTTGCCACGGAGTAAATCATTGCGATGAAAATCCTGAATATTTCTCTCCGCTGCTTGTGATGCAATCGCTCGTCATGTTGTTGTTCTGATGACGACTTTCCATCGCTGGGAGCTTTGATTCACTGACCTCTGCAGTCTGATGGGGGAAATGCTCAGAGACTCTCCAGATAATGGGCTCTAAATGATCAGTTAAAGTGTTCCATTCATTTTTTATTTTATTATGTTTGATGGGATGCTTCATGACGGAACAGACCTGCCTGTACGCAACCTACAAATACAATAAATTCACTTTAACTGACTGAAATTGTGGCCGCAACTAACGTTTATTATTTACTGTTTTATTAACGGTCCAAAAGACCCAAAAGAATCACTTTACATTGATGTATAACAGAGAAAAGCAGAACGTCCTCACATTTGTGAGGCTAAAAAACGGCATATTTGGGAACAATTTAATTAAATTAGTTGCTTTTCTGACAAATGATTAATCTACTAATCGTTGCAACTGTATTTAAATATACAAATCATTACATTTGTGTTTGTTATGGTGGAGTTTGTTGGATTTTATGGCGTTTTTCCTGCAAACGTTAATGAATGTCATCCGTTTACCTTTTTTTAATTTTTTTAAACGTGAGCGCTCACACCTCTTTTTTCCGACCCTCAGATGGAAGCGAGCAGAGAGCCGCTACACTGTGGAGAGAGCCGCCATCATCAGCCACTGGAACTGGCTCCAGGCTCACATCTCAGACCTGGAGTACCGCATCAGACAACAGACAGACATCTACAGACAGATCAGAGCCAGCAAGGTCAGTCGCTCACTCATCTTAGATATGTGTCTGTGTCTCTCTCTCTGTCTGTGTCTCTCTCTCTGTCTGTGTCTCTCTCTCTGTCTATCTGTCTCTCTCTCTCTCTATCTGTCTCTCTCTCTATCTGTCTCTCTCTCTCTCTGTCTCTCTCTCTCTGTCTGTCTCTGTCTCTCTGTCTGTCTGTCTCTCTCTCTGTGTCCCTCTCTGTCTGTCTGTGTCTGTCTCTGTCTGTCTGTCTCTCTCTCTCTCTGTCTCTCTCTCTCTGTCTGTCTCTGTCTGTCTGTCTCTCTCTCTGTGTCCCTCTCTGTCTGTCTGTCCCTCTCTCTCTGTCTGTGTCTCTCTCACTCTCACAAACTATATGTGCAGAAACCCACTGATCTTGTATTAATCTCTGTGGTGGTCTTGTGTCTTCAGGGCTCGGTGGAGCTGGGAGGAGTCTCAGGTGGGACAGAAGTGAAGGCGGAGCCTGTAAATACTCCGGTAAGTGAAGGAGTTTAACGGAGGGCTGTGCTCCTGTCCTGGTCATGTTCTGTCTCTTGGGGCTCAACCAAATTAATTTGTGACAGCTTATCAATTTAAGATGCATTCACAGTATCAAGTATTCAGCGTTTCGTGGTCAGTGAGGCAGACACTTCTGAATGTCCTTGTCTTTTTATCGTGGTAATGATTTTATGAACTGCAAGGCCATTAGGAGGAAAGAAGCTCTCGTTTTAAAGAACTAGTACTTAATGTTAATGTGTAATAAATAACATTAAGAGCAAGAATGAGCCTCAAATAACTAAGTTCTTCACCAAAACACAAAGCTTCAATCATTCTCATAAAAACACGGAGAAATCCGTTTTCAATATGTAAATGTTCTCCGTACCAGCGTTCATTCAGCTGTCAGTAGTCTGGATGTCACATGTTCTGTGCAGGTAGACGTTTAATCATAGATCTCTAATAGTCAATGAAACATTCAGCATGCTCCTGTCAATCAAAGCGTCTGGTGGAAATTAAATGTGAAACGTTCACAGGAAATTGTGTTGTTTTTTTTTATCTGTCCCTCAGGTCCAAAATGAATCGGATGCTCGTTTTTTTAATGTGTTTGAACAACATTCATATTCAGATAATTGCCAAATAACGTATTACAGGATGAGCCTGTTTTCTCTTTGTGTTTGAAAGTTTTATTCAACTGTTTGTTAATCTAGTCTGAGTGCAGGTGTGGCCTCTTAATGCTGGTGGACAACTGTGGTTTGCTGAGGCATATTACTGATATAAAACATAAAATGATCTGCTTTAACAGCAAATAAGAGGCTGTGAAGTGTCTGAGGTTTGACCATGAAGTATTGTTCACCTGAGAGTGAAAGCTTGTGAAGAAGGAGCTCCCAGCCATGCGTCTAATAAGGTTTTCAGCCCTTCTTTAATAATTCACGGCCACAGAAGCGGGAGGATTCAGTCTTTTTTAGCGTAGCTTCCGTTTTAATATCCCGGGTGTCTCTGAAGCTGTGCCAGTTGACACGAGGTGGAGTCTCACTGGCTTTGTCTTATCTGTCGATGCAGGATGTCGGTTCAGAGCGGCTGGAGCACACAGGCCCCGCCCACACAGGCTCCGCCCACATCCCCAGCACAGAGCCCGGTCCGTGGAAAGGTCAAAACACACAGCCCGTTAACGGCGTCCTCAGCAGGTACAGCTGACAACAAGAAGAGAATCTGCTTTCTTAGTGTTTCCAGTCACAAATGCAACATGTTTACTCGCTCTACCTTCTGTTTTTGTCATATATGATGTTAAGCTGGATGTCTTTGAAATATACCGCTATTTTCTGATATTTCACAGACAAAACTGATTTACCACGGAAATGATTGGCAGACTAATCGATGAAAATAATCACAAATTGCAGGCTTGGTACTGAGATTAAGAGGACTTCACCCTTAAATATCTGGATATTAATTAACTTCACTGGCTTGTAAGATAACCATCGGTGTCTAATTGATCTTCACTTCTGTTGACGCTGTTCAGAGAGACTACACATCTAGATTTATACTGATTAACTTGGTTGTCACTTGAGACAAAATGTGTTTCTCTGTCACCTTGAAGGCCAAACACCTGAGAGCTCATTCAGCTTTGTTTTTTTCCTCCAGGACGGCAGAGAGCGCCGACACAAAGCACCAGCAGCCGTCGGCCTACGACAGCTCGTGTGTCGCCGCTCGCACGCGTCCGCTAGTCGGCTGTCGACGACGGCGCCTCATTCAGCCCAACGCTGTGCCCAACGTCAACGGGAAGGTGAGCAACGCTGTGCACATAATCAGCTTTAAAATCACGCAACGCTGTCACCTGTTAAAGAACGTGAGAGGACGAGTTTGAGACTGAAATCTATGCGGAAGATGTCAAGATGTTGTTCTCACTGATTTAGATTCTTGTAACTTAATGAGCTGAGTAAACAGCAGACGGCTGACTTATTCATGAAGAACTGGGGCAAACAACAAAGAAGGGAAATAACCCTTGTGACGACTCACAAGTTCTGGCTGCAGAAAATAGAAACATGGGGCGATTGTTCGAGCTTCTCCCCCACACACACACACACACACACACACACACTGTGGCTCAGAGGTCTGTGGGAGAGTCAGTTTGAAACGTAATTCAATGAGATTTCAATATCCACTCGTATTTCATCTGTTACGCGGTTCATTTATAGTTTCAGGAAGAGGAAGCCTGTACTGTCGGTACCAAGTACAAGTCTTTAACACGGGCCTGAGGCGAATTAACTGAGAGAGAGAGAGAGAGAGAGAGAGAGAGCGAGAGCGTGCTCTGTATACTCAACCGAAGATCAAAAAACCAACAGCATACACGGGAAGTCACTCGAGGAAGGAAAAAATGAGTCTTTATTAGAGTGTAAATCATTGAAGGAGCTGACGCGGTTCAACCGTTATACGGCTTCATCGGGCTTTTAACAAACCTTTGGCCACACCTTTTATAGTGTAAACAGCCAACGAGATGCAGTCACATGACCACTAATGAAAACACTAAATACAAAGAGATGAGATAGCACAGGATAGTTTTTATATATCATAAATAGAAGACATGTACCTGTTGGTTTATTAACACAAAGACAAAACATTACAGAAAACATGTGACGTCTTCCTGAAGTTATATTTAATTAGCTAATTTAATAGTTCGTACTAAACAACAGAGAGGCAGTAGGGAAACGTTCACAGCTAACACGTGCGAGTTAAGAGTTCATTTCAAAAGATAAGTGAGTTTTATTGTGTTTATGTCGAGTTTAAAGTGTTTTCTGATGATCACATTTGGGTTTCTATCAATGGAGCCTTGTGGCTTTGAGGAGAGCATAATCATTGTATGTTAATTAATTAGATAACTACTTGCCCACGTCCTTTTATAGATTTCATTTAATAGGACTACATGTTCTGTTTGGGACAATAGAGCAAATGCTTAAAGCTCTGCAAGAAGAACTGATATCAGAACCAGTAGCTTCAAAGAGGGGAATGTTTTCTTTAATGACTCACTTAGAAAATGAAGCGTGATCTTTTATAGGTTTGTTATTGTAGAAGCTGAACTATGAACGTGGTTCTGTGTCGTCCTCCACAGACGCAGAGGAGCAGCTGTGTCCAGTGTAACTGCAGAGTGAACCCCAGCTGTGTGATGTGCGGTGGCTGGCCCACCCCCAGAGAGGACCCTCAGTACGAGCAGCCCACCCTGGAGCGGCTGTCCAGACTGGATCTCGGCGTCCACCCCATTCTCTCCTTCCCCGACGGTCAGTTTACGCAGTCGTTTCCTACTTCACATCCTCAGGGGAAGAAGAACAAGGAGCGGCCGTCGAGAGGAAGTCCGTAGAAAAAATTCTCTAAATCGACTGAAAAACATCTGGTGTCGTATTCCCCCCGAGCACGTGTTCCAGGCTCCTCTTAACCGTCATATTCAAGAGGCTTCTTTGTAATTATCAAGGAATGTGTCGTGTTTTGTCCCAAATGCATTATGCCGATACACATTTGAGATAAACACGACTTGGCACGCGATCACGTCGTAGATTGCCTTTGGTTAAATATCAATTTTGCATGCCATTTTGAATTGCTTATGTTGAGCTACAGATGGCACGCTTGGCCGCGTACGCTGCTGAAATCTTAAAGTGTTTCCGAGACGGTAATTCTCTTTGTTTACTTCCTCCTCAGACGTTTGTATAGGCCTTCGTCTGCAGCAGGTGATGAAGAGCCAGTGGCAGGCCAAGTCTCTGGAGAGGAGCAAACCACTGAAGAAGCTCTCCCTCAAACACAAGCTGTCCTCGTCCAAAGAGAAGCACAAGTTCACCAACTCACTCATGGCAGTCAGTGAGTACAGATGCTGCTGAGCCTCAGGGAGAGAGTTTAAACAGACACGCTACACAGTGACGCTGACGAGTCTGACGTTACATTACATGAATATATATAAGACTTTAATGTGGAAACTCTTCCATATCTAAAATAATCACATGAATAAACAGACAAAATAAGCCAATCAAATCTCAGAATTCGGCTCGTTGTGATGAAATGTTTTTGTTGCTGCTGTTCACAGTAACAGAGTCTATTGAAGGTTGTTGTTATTGCACAATGTCATCTCTCCCAGTGCCGGTTTTATTTCACAATGCAGAAGGGCAGAGTTATGTGCTTTAGCTGCTCAGCTGCAGCAGCAGTAACCCGAGTTCTTATAAAGTCTACTGTAGCTTTCATTGTTTTTTTATTGTAGTTCCACACATTTCACACCCAGTGACGTGACTCCCCTCAGTCTGGGGGCTTCAAGACGTCCAATGAATGTCCCTTTTTTAAGTATTTTAATTCACTTTGCTCTGAGAAACTTGCATCAACTCCTCCGTCTAATGATGATGTGTGACTGGTTGCTGGCGTTGCAGGACTGGGCCACTATAAGAACCGTGCTGAGAAGCCGAGGACAGTGGACAGCAGTGTGGGCGGCGGCGGCGGCAGCGCTCTGAACGCAGCCAGGCTGGAGGGCCAAGCCGTGTGCAAGACGGAGCGGCTGCAGGGCCTCTCCACTCCTTTAGGGCCCTACGACAAGAACTACAGCCGCAAGAGATTAAGAGAGCACTCGCTGGACAGGGCCGACAGTGAGTCTCCTTATGAATGAGGCCCAGGTCAAAGAACCGGGTCGCATACTGTTTAAGATCTCATGAAAACGGGGTTTGTCATGGCTCACAGAGACCGATCGGTCCTCTTAAAACACATCTGTCTGTCTCCCGTCCTCCAGCCTCCCCTAAACTTTTCATGGACTCGAGCAGCCCCTGTCCAACGCTGGCCAACATGCACCCGTCCCTCCACAGCCCCCTCACCCGCCAGCTTTCCACGTCTTCAGAGAACTCCACGCCGCTGGGCCAGAGCATCCAGAGCACACCTGTAAGGAAACGCCGGACCACCACACTCTCTCTTTTTGTTTGCTTGTCTTTCCGCTACATGACGGTGAACCGGGACTTCATTTGGTGTCGGTTGTTCAAACTAAACCTCAAGGTTGTCGGTCTCAATATGACTAAACTCTGGTGTTTTGACAAGTCAAACTATTATTGTGTAAAAAGAAACAATCGGCACCTTTTTATGTGGATGTCCAATTAGTGTTGATGGTAATGTGTTTGCATGTTGCATTGAGTTAGTCAGTGCCTACATGTACCAGGATGCACTGCGAGCAGGTTTCTCCGCTTCTTTTCACCGCATACAGCCGACGCAGTAAAACCACCGTACAATGTTCCTCCGCTCTCGTATTCTGGGATGCAAACTTGCAGGAAGTTCTGTTTTTAAGCTGCATCTCAGATGAAATAGTTTGTAGTTCCTCCAACTACGTCACTGGATGGAAGAACAACAGGTTTTGCAGCTGTGAACTCAGCTGTCGGAGTCAATTTAGCACAGAAGAGGAACTCGATGACATCAACCATCAACACTGATTGAACATCCACATGAAAGGAGCCAAATTTAAGACACTAAAACATGAGATAAAATGAAATATTTTACTTTTCTATCGTAAGAGTTAAGTGTGGGGCGGCTGCTGAAATCAAACTTACTAAGAACTACTGTTAAAATGTAGAAAACATGTTTTGTAAACGCATAAAGCCGAATGACATAAAGACACTGGGGACGTGCTAGCAGGTGCGCGGGAAAGACGAACGAAACTGAAACTTTCTTTGTGATTTGTTTTGTTTTTTTGTGGTTACTGAAGCAGAAAAAGGTGTCGGGGGAAACAAAAGCCTGCAGTCAGCGAGTAGTTCAACAGGCGGCGAGTAGTCCCAACAGGCGGCGAGTAGTCCCAACAGGGGGCGAGTAGTCCCAACAGGGGGCGAGTAGTCCCAACAGGGGGCGAGTAGTCCCAACAGGGGGCGAGTAGTCCCAACAGGCGGCGAGTAGTCCCAACAGGCGGCGAGTAGTCCCAACAGGCGGCGAGTAGTCCCAACAGGCGGCATTATCTGAGAGAAATCCGCCTCTCTAAACACACAGCAGCATAAAAAACCTGTCTGACACGATGTCTGGTGTGATCAGAGGATCTGGAACACAAATGTGTTCTGAAACTAACTGTGGAGTCATCGTTAGAAGATGTATTTAAACAAAACTTCCCATTGAGGCAAATGGTTTTTACGTTTTAAACATCATAATACACGTGTCCTGAAGTGAATTATCCAGATTAAGTGAAACTTAGATTTCATGATAACATATCTGTCTCAATACAGCTACATGGATCATGAAACCCTGAATCCTTATTTGTGCTTCCCCCCCCCGAGCAGCAGCCTATCAAGAGGAGGCGAGGTGAGAGCTCCTTCGACATCAACAACATCGTGATCCCCATGTCTGTGGCGGCCACCACCCGAGTGGAGAAGCTGCAGTACAAAGAGATCCTCACACCCAGGTAACTACACCTGCGTGATGTCACACACAGACCCTGTTCTGGTTGGTTCACAGTCCTCCATCATCTCACGTTTATTCTTCTGTTTGCAAAGGTGGAGATCCGTTGACATCTTCTCTCAGCCCATCACGGAGGAGGACGACGAGCGGGAGGTAAGAGTGGACTTCTTTAGGATCCACACGTCTGTGCTCTCCCACATTACTCACTTTAAAATATATAAACCTTTAATACACTCTATAATACACAAATTATGAACTTGTACTGTGCGGCAGTGAGTGAACAGTGACACCTGGTGGTCAGATCTCCGACACTTTCAAGGTTAAATCTTTATAGAGGAAGCAGTTCATAGATCAGAAAGAATCATGATTCTTTAATTACAAAGGTTGTTGGACTGATTATTTTTTATTTAATAGCTAAAACACGTTTCTCCTTACAAGGTAACTTTGGTATTTGTCCACCTGGACCCCATGTTATTCTGTGTTTGTGTGTCTCAGTGACCGATGGGGAGAACAGTTGTTCTAAATTGGTTCAGTATTGAGTGAGAACGCTGTGATGTCAGCGGTTCAGTGTCTTAAGTCCGGTTTATAGTCATGAACACGTCACTACAAAGTTATGTCATCAGAATGTCGTCTATAAAGTCATAAATAAACAATATAATAGAAAGTCATAGTATAGTATGTACAGTCAGTGCAATATGTCTTAATATAAGTCATAAAAAGTCACGATACAGTATGTGAGAAAAGTGTGTACGACACAAACCCAGAGAGATAATATTGTCAAAGGAGAGTTTAAAGAACATGTAGAGTCACATGTGACGAGGCTGCAGGTCTTTAGACGTCTTAACAACATTTGATCTACGGTCAGACGTATTCTTCTAGTCGGCCACAGACTGTAACGTTAGTCTGTCAGTGATTTAATGTGATGTTTAGAAACTGGTTAACGTTTCTGTTGTTTCATCATAATATGATGCAGCTATGACGTAATGAAGTGTTAACCTCGTCATCATTTCACTGATACTTTATACTTTGACCGGTATTACTATGAAACATCACGTTCTATATTGTATGTAAATATATTAAATGTAACTCTGTGAGCCCTGCAGACGCATTTCTTTACTCCATAAATCAGTTATCAATATTTTAGCCGTTAATTTCCAGTGAGTTGATTATTGTAGTTGTCGTCTGAGGCGGTGCGTTCAGGGACCTGACGGTGCTTTGTGTGTCTGTAGGTGGAGGACCTGACGGACGCGGCCTTCACTCAGCACCACCAGCCCCACGAGGACCAGGAGCGCTCCCGCTGGACCTGGATGGCCCTGGCTCCGGCTAAGAGGAGGGGCAGCAGGTAGCTACTAACACCACCACCATACCACCACAGTGACGCACTAAAAGTCTCCGATTGCGGCCCCTAAGGTTTATCTGTGGACGTTCTCTCGTCTCCTCAGGTCGTACAAGTCCGTGGACGGGCGCACCACGCCGCTGCTTTGCGGCACCAACCCACCCACCCCTCAGCCGGCGTCGCCCGACCCAGGACACTGCCCCATGCTCCACGACTACAGTCACGTGCCGTCGCCCGTGAGCCCGGCCAGCCCCGACACGCCCTGCTCCAGGGACTCCCACCGGCTGCTGTCCAGCGAGGACACGCGCTGCTCCACGCCGGACTTCACCTTCGAAGAGAGGGTACGTAGCTCAACTTCATGCTGTACTCATGTTCACTGAGCAGAGCCTGAAGGCATCACAATGTAACTGAAGTGAACCTCCGTTGGTTAGCCGTTAGCGGTGCTGCTAACGTTACTAGCGCTCCTCTGATTGGTTGTTTACAATGAAACATGATCAGAGACCAGAGACTAGAGGAGCATCACTGATGTCCTGATCTACTGCAGATGTTCCAGCCATGTTCTAACTGTGTGTGTGTGTGTGTGTGTGTGTGTGTGTGTGTGTGTGTGTGTGTGGTGTTTACAGACGGTAGCGCCGTGGGAGCGGCGCTGCTTCCCGCTGCCAGAGGACCCGGCCCCGGAGCCGGAGAGCGACCCCCCCCACATCAGGCCCAGAATTCGCAGCATCTCAGGTTGTCGAGCGACGGCCTTCGGGCGGCTGGACTCGGACGACATGGAGCAGCTGCATTGTGACGACGACAGCGGCCCCAAAAGCAAGGCCTCCACCGCCCACCGATGAATGACTGACAGGCTGAGGTCGCCCCCCACACCCCCCTCCACCCACAGCTCCTCTCTGGCATTAACAAGCAGAACCTCAAAGCGGAATAAAAATGTTAAATGGGTTCCTGTTGTTTGATATTCAAACATCAGTCTAATACTTTTCACAGTTTTTAGTGAACATTATGGAGATAGAAGCCTTTCCCTACACTTGTTTTGTCACAGGAAAAAAAAAGGATAAATGTAAAAAAAAAAAAAAGTATAAAACGACACGTTACAAAAACTGTTTTGTGTAGTAGGCTAAACAATGTACATGGGCGGGGCTTAGTGGTGTTTCATACGTCGCGTGTACACTTGTAGCGCACTATGTAGCGGACTCCTAAAATATGGCCAAAGGGTGTTTTCTATTGACTAGTTTGCTTGTAATTCCCATGTACATTTTTAGTGGAGTGACAAATTACAAAACAAGAAAAAATACCACCCCTGTCTTCTTCCTCCTCTTCCTCCTCCTCATCCAAATAAACAGGTACATTTGAGATGTGGTTCCTTCTTCTCCCTCTAGAGGTCGCCTGAAATCACCAGAGCACTTCTCCAACTGCCAAGTCTAGTTTTGTTTTGCTTTTTCTTTGTTTTCATTCCTCACATGTTTTCTTTGTGTCTTCTTCTTTCTTTTAAATAGTAAAAATCATTCCTTTACGGTCTCTTTTGTTCAGAGAGTGTCCACAGCTCCGTGTCGCCCCGCTGGCTCTTCTCACTCATTTTGGGTTGTTGTTGTTTTTTAAAGAGGGTGGTGGCACAGAGAGGGCTGGGGCGTCTTTTGAGCACTTGCCCTACAGCAAAGCGCTGCTGCATGCTGCAAAAACATGCTAATGTTAGTCTTAACACAACGGCACACACTGAGAACTCCACTGATTGAAACAGAAACGTGGGGGAGGATTGAACCATCTGCTAAGTTTCACTCTCAGCGTACAGTCGCTGCTGTATTAAGTTAAATTATGGTAAAAATAAAACATAACTGAACTACCCCCCCCCCCCCCCTACTTTTCTCTTGCAAACATCTCAAATGTAGCAGCTAGATGCCCCCCCGAGCTCAGGTTTTTCAATTTAAGGGAATATTTTCTGCTGTTTGACCGGTTTCTCTCTGATCACATCCAGACGACTCTGTTGCAAGATGGATTTTTTTTTTTTTCATTGTCATAACCACACTCTCCCTGCCCCTCCCCCCCTCTCACCTTAATTAACTAATTGCTATGCAAAAAAATACTGGTTGTTTTCATTTTACACCTCCGTTTTATGCCACAGCCATTCAATCACTGTTTTTTCTTTTCGTAGTTTAAGCAAGATGTCAATGTACCTGTTCGATTGTTGCAGCAGTTAACCTAATCAAAAAGCAGATTTGTTTTTGTTTTTGTTTTTTGTAAATAGTACCATTAAAACATTTATGTTTAACTTGGCGTTATCGTTCTGGCCTCCAGTCCTTCGGTGTGAAATCACTCTTCATGAAATGTTTACAGACGGAAAAACATCCCAATTTACTGGGATTTCAGTCCCGTGTGTTTATTGCACTACTGCGTGTTTATTGCACTATGTGGTGAAACCAGTAGTGATTCCTGACTTGTGTTGAAAATCCTTCACGACGACGGTGACTTCATAGCATTTATTTTCAAATACACACATACAGCAACAAGAATCATCATAAACCAGTTATTGATCAAATGCACAACAACGAGAACAATCACATTTCCACAAACTGTACAGCGTCAGACGTAAACTGAAATAAGGTGATTTTGTTACTGCAGAAAACCACCCAAAGCACGTTACTGTAGCCTCTCAGCCCTTCCTGCACACCGAGACGAACGTGGTTTATTGGAACAGAAGAACCAAGAAGTCAGCATGCAGATCACATCGCAAGCGCCTTAAAGTGCTGTCTGCTAACTTAAAAGAAGCATCTTCGCGTTTTTTTATATCTATTTTGGCAACAAATGTTTAAAAAACGCACACAGTTGGGAGTGAAGTGTTCCGACTCTTTATAACCACATATACTTTTTTTTTTTTTAAGTCTTCGACCAGCACGTCTTTCATAAAACAGGATATACAAAGAGACCACTTTGTGAAAAGAAGGGGGGCAACAAGCGGACTCGTCACTTACATGAGGTGCATGCAAGAAGTTGTTTCACTTAATATTAACGTGAGTAATGGTGACGAGTCACCGGGAATATTCAGGACGTTTATATTTTTTTAAGGGTTACAATTTGAGGAGAGCAGCTGGTTTGCATTCGTGTCCAACAAATACAAGACTCCCGTCGTTAAATCTTTTTTAATCTGCACCGTCTCTTCATATGAACCTCGCTAACTGACTACATTTAGTTTGGGTTTGTTTTTAGTAGTTTGAGTTGACTCTTTAGGTCCCAATTAAGGAAAAGGGGCCTCAACACAATGACAAACGCACAAAATCATGTTTCTAGAGTCTCATAGTGTTGAGTCTTGTGTCCGTTGCTCAGGTACACAAACAGACGTCTCCCCTCGTATTAACTTGGCCCGATCAACCCGCCGTCGTCCATCCGTCTGCTTTGCAATATGCGTTCTGGTTGAGTACATTTTAAAATACGTTTTTTTTCCGACCCTTTAAAGTGAGACTGTAACTCTTGAGAGAGGAAATACAAATGAAAAGTCGTAAGCGGCATCTTTTACATAGTTCAACACACTCATGAGCGGTAGCTTATGGTGGCTAATGTTAGCAAAACGTTCTAAATACTCAGTTTCCTGCGTAACAATAGAAATAGGAGTAGACAGACATTCCCATTCAAATCAATGGAGTAGGATGGTCAGAGAGGCGGCCATTTTATGTGTACAGCTGTAGCGGGCTAACGGCCGCATAAACTAAACCGACTTACGGCAAGCGAGTGATACCAGTGTAGCATTAAAGCATGGTGGGGATTAGCTAGCTAGCTAACTAACTAGCGAGGCAGCTGGCTAATTTAGCTAGCTTGCTAATTCCACCATGCTTTAGTGCTACACTCGTTGTTCCCTTTGCCACCGCTCCGGAGAAGATCAAGCTAGCTAGCTGGCCAGCCACCCGTCTCCGGAGACGACACTTTACAGCCTCACTAACGTGTGTTTCCACCACAGCAATTACCAACAACCGCCATTTTCTTTTGTACTAACTTAAATGGCCGCGGATAACGCTTCAACTTCCGTTCTCCTATTCTATTTCTGCGGTTTGCTGACTTTATGACTCCTCAATCTGCACTCGTGCTACTGTTGCAATGGCTTAGCATTTTAAGCTAAATGATAAACAGTAGCTTAGCATGTAGCATTCTCACAATGTTTTCTTTTCAGCCGAAGTTACGTAGTCTCGCTTTAAGAACACTTAATAATCGCGGTGATTATTCTACCTAGCTCTCATGTGCATATAGCAGTTTAAATACTGTAATCAATGAACTCTTAATAGTTTGGCCGTGAAAGTTTAAAGGTTCAATTTTCCTCAAGCTTCAGCTCATTTACAATAGAGCAGTAACAAAAAATAAAATAACACTGACAGTAGCAGGCACAATACAAATGTTTCTTCATATCAAATACATGTCATATATCCACAGAATACGATTATAAAACTGTGCCCAACACAAACCAAAGTTTCTACTCTAGCCGTTCTGTTTTTTATATATTTTTTTTAATCCAGGTTACACTTGTGTCGTGTTGGGACTACACAAAGCAAAGACACCACTGAGGTCTGAAAGCTTTTTTTTTTTTTTTTTTTTTTTATCTGCCTCAACTTGAAATAATCTGCTACGTTTCTTTTTAACAGCTTCTTAACTTCTTAACTTCTTAACCCTGTTAACCTGCTTCAGCACAAACCGGGCACCTTATCAAAAGAAATGTGAGGGGAACACCCATCAATAGGGACATTTAGAACATGACTCTCTAAAGGGTTTACAGTCAATGTGACAGGAAACCAAGCGTTAAATGACGATGTCAGATTTACCAGGACAAATGAGAAGATCCTCAGATTCACAGGGAGAGTTTGGCTCTGCTGGGGTGATTTAACTCTTAAAGGGAGACTTACAAAAGGTAGAAATAGCAAATAAAGAGCTCAAAGACCAGAGAGAGAGATTAAATACATGTTGGGTTACTTGTTACTCTGTTTTTCTCTACAGGTAATGCCTCGAGAGCAGTTTAGTGAAGGATAAACAGTGATGGGTAGCTAAAAAAGTCCTGTGAAAAATAAGGAGGAAGGCGTCGCAACTCCTCTACGTGGTCGTGTGGTTTGGAGGTGGAGGAAGTGGAGGTTTTTTTTTGAGGGGGTGCATTCACAAGCCCTGTTTGGCCAGAGAGGCAGACACCTGGTCGGCCAGCGTGGAGAGCTGCGGGGAGTCGGCTATGTTGAGGCTGCCGGAGGAGGACACGGTGCTGAGCTGGTGGGGGGAGTCTTCCAAGGAGACGATCTCAGCGCCGTGGTCAGTGCGGGCCTTGGCGGACTCGCGGAAGCTCAGCTTGTGGCTCTCAATCTGCGGGGAAAAGATGGCCGGAGACGGGTGAGAGGGGTGAGAGGTGCTGCGTGGGTTAGGAACACATGTTGCGTGTTGAAGAGCGCCATCTGGTGGACACTGATGGATTACAAAACTTCAATGACACGAATTCAATACATGTACCTGCAAAGGTTATTATCACTTATTTATGACATACTATGACTTTTTTCGACATACGATAATATATAATATAAACACATTATTATAACTTTTTTATGTCTTTCTTCGACATACTGAACTATGACTTTTTAATATATTTTTCATGACTTAACGTACTATACTCTGATTTTTTTTAACATTGTATAATAAGCTTTTTTTTCGACATACTATATTATGACTTTTTATTACATATTTTACTATGAATTGTATTTGACATACTATAATATGACTTTTGTCTTCATGACATTGTTATGACTTTAAATGAATATATTAAATATAGATAAATTCTTTAAAACTTATATTCTACTATGACATTGAAGTTTTTATGATGTACTATACTAAAGCTGTTATAGTAGCAGATTAATGCCCATAGGTTTATAGTTCTGGAACAGACTTATACAGTGTAAGTTTCAGGCGTCCACATATATGTGGCTATGCTATGTAGCATGTTTGGGTTGCATGTTTAACCCCTTAAAACCTGTAAAAAAGTTACAAAAATGAAGTGAAATGAAAAATTAAAAAACGTTTGTGCTGCTGTTTAAAGCAGCCGACGACACGTACTTACAAGAGTCCTCAATCTTTATGAGGGGGTTCGTCAGGATGGGTGTGATGGGAGCTGAGGGGACAGTCTGTGGTGACTGAGGGGGGGTGGCAGCGGGGGAGGGGATTGAGGGGCTGTCTGAGGTACTCCCCTCGGCTTCCTTCCCCTTCTCCCTCTACAGACGAGCCCCACCAGAGGAATGACAAGGCATGCAACAAAAATACATGTGATGGCATCAACATAATCAAAACGCAACACAACCAAATGAAGAACCAAAAGATAACGACAACAAATGAATAGATTATGATCGTATCGGCGGGATGGAGAAGATGGAAGCTTGAACAAAAGAGGGAGAAAGGTGCCAAACTCAGGGGAGGAAAGTATGAGAGACGGATGACTAAGCGCTGCGTCTTCAGCTCCTTCAATGTTAAAATGTCAGTTTTTTGTGTGAAACCCGTTGAAATATCAGTGTTGGTGACTTCTAACGGAATCTCAGTTGCATTGTGGGTAAGATGAGGTCTGCCAGAGTCCAAAATCAGGACTCTGGTGCAGACAAACAACCAATTAAGACGATTAAAAATGATATTCCCTGCGCTGTTACACATATCTAAATCTAGAAAATGATAATATCCTTCATACTGTGAACATTTGCACACTAATATTTTATATTAATATTCTTAACCTGCTGAACCTGATTTCAACTTGCTTTACATAATAATGGTAATTTAACAAATACTAGATATGATATACAAATGTCTATTAATGCACTAATACTAAATAATAACTAATAAAAAATGATATTATATATGATATTATATATATATAGCGCTTCTTTGATACAGACCTGATATTGTTTCATACTTTTACATTTTCTATTATTTTATGTAATCTTCACTACAAACATCTCTGTTCTTTATTTCAATTCATAACATCTTATTTTGAATCATGAACATCTCTCTACAGGATCTTCAGGTGAGTCTGCAGGTCGTCATCACGAGTGAAGCTGTTACTCTACAATAGAGCAGCGAACGCTCTACTAATGCAGATAAAAAGCTTTAGCTTTGCAAACAGCTGGCAGGACGCGATCACAGGAAGAAGGGCAACAACCATCCCATAATAATACGAAATACTTCATCCAGTGTTGCAGGTGTTCTTACCCGTCTCTGTCCTCCTCCGGGGACGTGGCCGATGTTGTCAAGAGAGCCGATCTTAGACTGACCTTTGAAATCAATCTTCTCGTTTTTGATCTCGATATTTCCTCCGCCTGATGAAAACACCGTTATTATTAAGTTAAATAAATATATATATACATATATATACGTAAAATGTTCTATACAAACATGCTTTCTTCTTTTGAAATAAAGAGTTTATGTCCACTGATTATTTTGGGTCCTGCAGGATACCACAAACACAGACGTACCTGGCTTATGACGAATGTTGGCTTTTGATCCACATTTCGATTGAACGTTGGTCAGATCAACCTTTTTGTGCACAATCTGAACCTGTGAAGGTGACAAGACAAAGCAGAGACATAACGCTTTAGAACTACAGTAACAGACGTCACTCTGGACTCGTAGGTTTACGTGCAGCTACAGAGGAACCGATGCTATAGAGCGGCCTGTTAGTCGTCTACAACAGCTACCGGGAAGGAAACACGGATCAATGACACACTAAGGCTGAGTTGCACCAACAAGGATTCATTTAATCTGAGATTAGTTCTAATCAGAGTTAGCAGAAGTAGGTTTAAAATGAGTAAATCCCATTTTAAAGTTAAGCAGAGCTCTGTTGCACAAATAAAAACAAATCTTAATTTAGTAAATCCAAGTTTAAACCAAAATTACATCAAGTTTAATCAAGGTGACGATGCTTGTTTACCCAAATGAATTACTCAAGACGATTGACATCACTCATGATGACTCGGAGGAGAAGCTCTAGCTCGCTTAGTCTTTCTTGATTGAAGAGCTACTTTTAAAGAAGATTGAACCACATGTTGGTGTAACTCAGCCTGAATCACACACGTGAAGACGAGCTGGGTTGAATATTAAAGTCTCAACTAGAGTTGTTTAGTAGTCAGTGTCTAATCTTTAACACGCACTGCTCACGTAGATTGTCGTTTTGTTTTTTAAAGCCGTATTTCCCGGCCGTGCGTCACAAAGTCTCGTCTCTGCCGTCACGGCCGATTGTCTCGTAGCACAAAGCGCTCAGTCTCTCAGCTGAGGTCATCTCAGTGCTCATCACAACAGGCACAGTTTGGACAGAGACTCTTTGTGCACTTCTTCGTTTAGGACACAATTAGTTGTCTTTAGCGGGAATTAATACATATTTTCTTTAATGGATTTTCTTTTAAGAAATAAAAAAAATCCGATCTTGCAACTTGAGGCAGTTTGCATAAATCCCAAAGAACACACACAGGATTCATGCATGTTTGTTTAAAGGGCCGGTTTGGGTGGTAAACACTTTCTGATCACAGTCGAACCGACAAGCACAGATTCAACAGAGTTATCAAGCTTACAGAAGAACATGAGCATTACGTAACGCGGCTAGCTGCGACAGTAGAAGCTCTGAAACTTAACCAACGAAAAAGACTTTATGGAAACTAATTCAGAGGTAAGATTCAGTACAGTACTTAAAGTGTTAGAAGTGTAAAAATGTCCCTTGTGACTGTTCTCTTATATCAATAGATAATTATTACTAATGCATTAATGTAAAAGCAGGATTTTACGGCCTTTTTATATAAGATGACTTGTTCTATCATGGATCAATCTGCTGATTATTTTCTTGATTAATAGACTGATTGTCTGGGTTGTAAACATTTTAAATATATTGAGAAATGCCGTCATGTGACCTCAAATTGATTCAGTTTATTGTCATTTAAGACAAAAGAAAAAGCTGCTAATCGCCACTTTTGAGAAGCTGGAATCATGAACGGGGCATTTAAAATCAATCCAGAAAGAAATCAATAATTTCACATAAAATATTGATTTAAAAATGATCCTATTGGTTAAAAATGTTGCTTTCGCTACAGAAAAGAGTCCTCTCGTTGAGCACGGAGAAAACCTCTCATGTTACTGCAGCAGCATCCTCACAGTAACGTCAAGTACAACACTACAGTAGATGTACTTGGTTACGTTCCACCACTGACCTCTGGTTTAGTGCTGCTCTAGTCATCAGTATGAAATGCTCATGCCTGTGTATTCGTGATAAAACCGTTATAAGGAGGTGTTAACAGTTTTGGGAGTATCGAGGTCAGGAGGGTTGAACACACAGCAGGTTTCGTGCACGCTGACATCCTGCTTCTTTGTGAAGATGCATTCAGGAGAAGCAGCAAGAAGGTTTTTTGGCGACAACTGCATACCTGCAGCTCGCCACGGGGCCAAATCCCTCATCTACTCACATTGCCACCACCGGGTACATGTTTCATATTATCTTTGGAGCCACACCGGGACTGTACGTTGCTTAAGTCCAGCTTCTTTTCAACAATTTGAACCTGGAAAGTTGATATGAAAGACGGTTATCTTGGAGGAAGCAACAGCAGCAGAGCTGCGAGTGAGGACCAGTGCTGGAGAGGAAGTTAGATCTTGGAGGAGAGAGATCCAACCAGAGAACATGGCTGATAAATCCTCTAGAAAAATAAAGGTCATAACTGCAGAACCTGCCTGAGAAAAAACATGTTTTTAAATGTTCTTCAGTATCAAAGTAATCCGGTGATAGTTGTCTGTACATCCATGAGTACACTGCAAACAGGAACTGCTAACAGCTAATTCGGCATGCTTGTAATGGTGCCAAAATGCTAAAATATATGCAAATATCTGCAAAAATACAGTGACTCACACTTCCCCCCCAAAACCCACAAATTATGGGAACTGTAGGGTTGTTGTTTGATGGGGGGGGCGGGGGTGGGGGGGTTCAAAGTGTCAGATTTTGAAAACCGTTGACCTGGAGGAGTTAAAATTGTCCTTTGACAATGCATCACATTTTATAAACTCTTCATATGTTTTGTGTGTATTAATCTTAATGTGTAAAGTAGCTGAAGCGATTCAATAAATGAAGGAAAGCAAAAAGTACAATATTAAATAAATAAGAGTACAAGTAACTCTAATGTGTACTTAAAGCTACTATGAGGAACTTTCACTTTGTTGATTTTGGCGGTCCCTGTGGACAAATGCGGTATTGTTTCTCAGCACCAGAGTCCCTTTAAAAACCTCTCATGTTACTGCAGCAGCATCCTCACAGTAACGTCAAGTACAACACTACAGTAGATGTACTTGGTTACGTTCCACCACTGACCTCTGGTTTAGTGCTGCTCTAGTCATCAGTATGAAATGCAGATGCCTGTGTATTAGTGATAAAACCGTTATAAGGAGGTGTCAACAGTGTTGGGAGTATCGAGGTCAGGAGGGTTGAACACACAGCAGGTTTCGTGCACGCTGACATCCTGCTTCTTTGTGAAGATGCATTCAGGAGAAGCAGCAAGAAGGTCTTTTGGCGACAACTGCATACCTGCAGCTCGCCACGGGGCCAAATCCCTCATCTACTCACATTGCCACCACCGGGTACATGTTTCACATTATCTTTGGAGCCACACCGGGACTGTACGTTGCTTAAGTCCAGCTTCTTTTCAACAATTTGAACCTGGAAAGTTGATATGAAAGACGGTTATCTTGGAGGAAGCAACAGCAGCAGAGCTGCGAGTGAGGACCAGTGCTGGAGAGGAAGTTAGATCTTAGAGGAGAGAGATCCAACCAGAGAACATGGCTGATTAAAGAGGACGGGGGAGGACTTTTATGAGAGTGAGACCATCAAACGGCCACACTACTATATTGACGACTATATGTGAGCTCAGAAAAAAAGTGCAATTATTTCGAAAGGTGAAAGTCAAACAAAAGGGTTCCCCACCTTGCCTCCCCCGGGCATGTGCTTTAAGTTGTCTTTAGATCCACAGCGAGCTTGGACGCTGGCCACGTCCATCTTCTTGTCCAGGATTTGGACCTGCAGAAGTGCAAGAACATAAATACAAGTCTTCAGAAGATTTTAAATGAGAATAGAGGGGGACCAGCCCAAAATGGAGGAAATATAAGACATATTTTTTGACTGATTTCATTAAAGCTGCCATCCATAACTTTGTCACACTCGTTTATTCCACCACAATAGATACTACTGGGCGTATTCTTATAACTTAGAGCATTAAAATACAAATACTGCAGAATGTGACACTTCTGGCTCCGTTACTGAACCAGGACGGGTGAGACCCAACAAGCTATATTTAAAAAATCAGTAAAAAAAAAAAATCAGTATTTCTCTACTTCAGCACACACTAATGACCATATAGATCATATATAATATAACTAATCAAATGTTACAGATGCCAACTTTGATGCATTTAAAGCAGTGAGCTTGTAGTTAATTGCACCTTGAGTGTTTGGTGAACTAAAGAGAAAAAGCTAAATATTAAAGTGTCTTATTGAGCAGATTGCGACATATTTGTACATATTCCATTCAGAAGTCCGTCGGAGAGCAAAAACAAGAGAGCACCTTCGTCTTTATATCCTTTTTTTACCAAAAGTTGGTTTTGATGCTCATAACTGCAGAGATACTCAAGAGTCTGGTGTTGAGTTCATCCCTCAGTTACTCACATTGCCGCCACCGGGTACATGAGTCACATGGTCTTTGGAGCCACACTTAGACTGGACACTACTATAGTCCACCTTCTGATGAAGGATTTGTACCTGGAAGAATGAAAACGGCAGCGTTTAGATTGTTGAGTGGAGACGATGGTTTGCCACATGAGCTGTGAAGCCTGAGAGAAGCTTTACTTTACTTGGGTTGCTTTGTGTAACATGCAGGTCGAGGTGTAGGAGAGGAGAAGAGATAGCCATAGAAACAGAATAGGAGTAGAGCGGACATTGAACTGTTTTCTGTAGCCGTTTGACTAGAACAAAAGAAAACGGCGATTGTTTTTTAGTTGACCAGTTGTCGCAGGACGCAGCTCTGGAGACGGATAACTGGCTAGTTAGCTAGCTAGCTTGTCCTCCGCAGTGGAGTGAGGCGGAGGGACCGTCGGACAAGCCCGCTGTTTGGCTCATTGTCCTGTAACAAGTGTAGCATTAAAGCATGGTGGAATTAGCAGGCTAGCTAGTTAAGGTACTAATTCTACCGTGCTTTAATGCTACACTGGTTACAGAAAATGAGCCGACAAAAGATGTCACTCTGTCGATAGCAATGTGCTTTCCTTCGCGTTGACAAGAGTGTGTGGATGAAGCATTAAGTTGTTAAATTTATTCCGGCTGTCTACGCTTCGTAATGTTACTCCGCTGCTCTTTTTAATCGTAACCCCACCTCAGCGAGTCCGCGACTCGCCGTAAGTCGTAGTTTATACAGAAGTTAGCCCTCTACAATGGTCACAATGGCCGCTCTGACCATCCAGCCACGTTGATTTGAATGGAAACGTCTGTTCGTCTTCTATTAAATCTCTATGCGGAAGACACTGGGCTGTATTCCAAACTGGTCCTGAAACTCTTCCTCTCATTTCCTTCGAGGACCAAATACAGGAATCATTGCAATGTGTGTCCTCCTCCTCTCTTCTGTTTCTTTGATCCGCCATTTAAATGTCAGGGAGATAAATATTGTCACACTTTAAATGATTTATATTTGGTCCATAAATATCGCAAAACACAAATTTGTGTCAGCAAACTGCTGACAAGTTGTAAATGTCAGCAGTAAAACACCAGACAAGTGACTGTAGCCAAGACGAATTTAGAACAAAGACTCTGCAGTGCTTTTAATGATAAAATGGACCTCACACACACACACACACACACACACACACACACACACACACACAGTACACTGACATCCTCACACTCAGAGCACATTGGACTGTGTTGATCAGACAACACTCAAAACATCAAAAGGCAAATTGGAGTTTTAGTTCCACAAACATTTCTCAGAGGCTCTGAAAGCAGAACCTTTCTGATTGGCTGATTTAGACCCAGTGGGCGGATCCAACGTTTAAACCTTTTTTATTTGAAAATCCAATGACGAGTTTCCACCAAGAAGTTCCTGGTACTTTTTGTCCCGGTAAGAATCGTTGTGCTTTCAAAGACTGTGCACAAGAAGCTAACAAAGAAAACAAAACAAACACAATTTAAAAACGGGGTTTGCAAGAAAGGAAATGCAGTCGAAACGTTTTTAAGACAACAAAGGCCATGTGTCTTAGAAGTTAGTAGATATCTAGATCTGCTTAGTGAGGTTTAAATGTTCCAATTAGATCATTTCTGCCTCCAGAACTGGATCTAAACCTCTGATCTGCAGACTGAAGTAGAGGGATGGACTGCATGCGGTGTGAGGTGCACTCGGTGTAACAGCTGGATGAAGGATTCAGGTTACCTTTCCACCTCCCGGCTGGTGCTTCATGTTCTCTGTGGAGCCGATCTTGGACCGGACGTGCTTCAGGTCCGGCATGGGCGCCGCCGCAGCCAGAGGGGCCGGCGGGCGGCTCTTCAGCGAGCCCGGGGATTTGGGTGTGGAGCGCACCACCGCGACCCTCTTCACTTTGTTGGCCTCGGCCGCCGCCTTGGCAGAGAGCGCTTGGCTAGCGGGAGATTTGGGAGTGCCGGGGCTGCTCTGTCCACTCCCATCTTAAGCAATCGGAGAAGCGACGAGTCAGAGAGTTTTAAACAAGTCGCGGATGAAAGTAAAATAATAAATCTAAATATATAAAGACTAGCATCTCTGCTGGCTAGAAGCTGACCAAGTTTGATCCGGGACTGGATCACACTGTGGTATTGTGGCTATATGCTAAGCTAAAAGTGATCGCTAATAATTAGCTTTTTCTTTATTTTTTTTTTTTACCTTTGCCATTTTTTGGAGTGGGAGGTTTCTTGGCACTAGCTGCATCACAAAAACAATATGACACATCATAAGTAATCCTTAAATCTTACTAATCGCTTGAATAAAAAATAAATGAAAATGATTTATGGTAAATGAAACACTTAAGTGTAAAGTTTTCGTACCTTGTTGAGCTGCAGTTCTGACAGAAGCTTTGATTCCCGGGGTTTGAGGTTTTGCGCCACCGAGGCTCTAAAAAACAAGAATGAAAAGTTATTTAGTGTTCAGCAGAGATGCTGCTTTTACCTCAGAAAGACACGTACATCTTGTTCACAAACACATGAGTGTCAAACAGTCATCAGTGATGAGCGCACGAGGCTTTGCTTGGTGTTTATGGTCATTTACAATAACAATAAATGTAGGTTTTGGTGCATTTATATTTCTTTAACCTCCCAAAAGATGACGAGGAAATTGCGCATCCATCCATCGTGTGTTTCACAAGCTGAACTCAGCTCAGGTTCAGAGCCGTACTTACTCCGGGCTGCTTGGGCCCCGGGCTGCTGGCTTTAATGGGGATGGAGCTGGGGCCGTTTCGGGAGGAAGGGTGTGTTTTGTTGCCCCTGGTGACTATGGATGGTCTTTTAGGGGAAGTGGTTGGTTTGGTGGCAGTTTGTGTCTTTGTCATGAGGAGGGAAAAAAATGAATACGTAAAAAACAAAAGTTCTAAATGACAATGAACATGAAACAGAGGAACGACTCAACAAACGAGAAATGATGGAAAAGAATGATTGTGTTTCATAAAAAGGATTATTCCGGTTAGTTACAACTTGGGTCTTATTTCCATAATCTCGGTGATCAATTCTATCAGTTGTGAAAGTCTTTCAAGTCTTCTTCAACACAGCATGATGTTCATTTAGTACATTATGGTCCATTTAGAGTCAAACAGACCATAAAGCAGGGGATGCTTTAGGGCGGGGCTACACGGCGATTGACAGGTCTCTATCAGAGACGTATACGGCGTCTCTACGTCACTCCTCCTCAGTCCTAATATGGTCACTTCCTGTTCACTGGTTGCACTAAACAAGATAGTCGTCCAAAATGACCAATTTGAGGCTTCAAACCCGTAGTCCACAAACCAACGGGCGATGTCACGATAACAACGCCCATTTCTTCTATACAGACTATGATTTTAACAAACTGATGCTCTCAAAGTCTCAAAACACGAGCTGTCTAACCAGCAGATTTATTCACAACCTGTCTGATCATCTCCACTGTCGCCATGTTTCAAGATCAATAGTGCAATAGAAAAATTGCTACAAAGCTAATAAAACATGTTCCAAGTTGTAATAAACCAGAACGATCCCTTTGAGGAAAGAAATGATTGACATCTTTAATAACGTTCCTGGTCACGTACCTTATCTGCAGAGCTGTTGTCCACCTTTGCTGGAGCTACAGGCAGAAGAGAGAAGCAGATGTTAGATTTAAAGTTTAATATACTTTCATTTCGTCTTTATTTTCTACCCAAGTGAAAGACTTTTGCTACCCAGTGTGTGCCTGAACACATTCACATGGCAAAACATACATGTTGGTGATATGCAGCATGCATGGTGGAAACCCAAAAAGAAAAAGTGGATTTTTTTCGTGGGCCGCATTAACCAGCAAGGTGAGCAGAGATGGAGACATGAAAGAAAAAGTGGGGAGGGAGGACAACAAGCTTCTCCTCGGGTCAGAGTTAACGTCCAATAGAGAAAGAACTCGGAGGGGGGGGGGGGGGGGGGGACGGGAAGGAAAGGGGGTGTGCAGCATAACATACGGTAGAAGCTGCGTTGTAACAGAAAGAAGTGGAAGGAGTTAACTGAAGAGGACTCTGAACCGGTGAATACGACAGCAAACAGACCTTTGAAAATAGCGACTGGAACCAAAGACTTTCTGGCTGCAGGGCTTTGGGGGGCAGGTTTCTGGAGCTCGGCGGTACCGGTGGTCTGAGCCACACTCCAGTCTGAGTCATTAGAAATGTGGGGCTCTGAATGGCCGGCCCTGTGTAACGATGAGTCACGGCTGCTGTTATCAGATGGCGTTTTGCTTAACGGGCTCTCGTTGTGGGAAATGTTCCTGCCGCTGTGAAGATCTTCTGATTGAGAGTCAACGTGTGGCAGATTTTGTGTGTGCTGTGCTTCTGGGGGGGTGCTTCTGGAGTTTAAATCCGCTCCATCTTCAGAGACGAGAGACTCCTCTCCTTGACTGCCCCTCGAGCTTCTGTGTCCGATGGACGTCAGGTCTTCCAAAGCCTCGCTGCGAACTAAAGACATCCCGGACAGATTGCTCATTTCGGCCAGGCACTCGGAGGCGTCGAGGCTGATCGCCCTCTGGGAGTCCGCGGGGCTCGTCCCGTCGTCCCGTCTGATCTCCGGCCCGGAGCCCAGGTCTTCAGAGGCCCATAAAGACTCACTCAGCCTCTTCCCGCACTCCCCCACCGCCTCATTTCCTGGGTCCAAGGGGCAGGAAGCTCCCATGAAGTCAACGACCGCCCCGGCGGCTCCGTCTACAGCGGGATCTGACCCGTCGCCCGCAAACACAAACTCACTGCGGACTGCAGAAGCACCAGGCTTTGCTAATTTGTTTGGAAAGCAGATTAATGAGGACATTCACAGCACTTGTTTTCCATCTCCCCGTTGAAACAAATAAAATAAACTGAAGGAGTGAACAGAACTGTACAACTGATGACATCAAAGAGTCCGCTTATTATTTCACGAACCAGAAGAAACTGAGAGAGCTATGAAAGGTGAAGATGCAAAACGTGATCAATGGCGGCTCACATGAAAGTAAAATGAGATGGAGATGGACATGAATGCATCACACCGGGGTGACGGACAACAGATGACGCATACCAGTGAACACAACCAACAAGAAACCAATCAAATTTGGCTTTTTCATCCTAAAAATAGTGAATAAAATATGAAATAAAGTGTGAACTCCTTCTGTGAACTGTAAAACAACGCAGTCCCCCAAAAGACCTTTGAAAGAAACTGTTAAATGATGCATTAAAAGCTTAATTAATGGTTATAGGTCCTCACTTTGAATTATGAATCAATAATTACGCTATAATTAAATTGAACGGCAAATTTAATGACTTTTTACATATCTAGAGCACATATATAATATATTAATATTAATTTAATGCAAATGTAATTAATCAATGTGAAATTAGCTTTTTATGTGGTTTAAATGATCAATTACTTGTAATTAAACCCTGTGAATGTCTATAATCATTAGTGTAACACACATGATATTATGAAAACTGATTGCGGAGAACATCTTTTTGTCCACCTGGAGTTATAACTGTACTCATATCCATCTCCTGCAGTAAATAAATAGTCCAGTGCGATCAATAAAGCATGAAACAGCCTACCTGTTGAAGCCGCTCCTGCTGCTGCTTGAACGTGACGAGACAAATGGAGAAAAGAGATTATAATGAGTTCCTGTCATTCATGATTAATACACTCGCTCACTGCAAGAGAAATCAATACAAAGCCTTCATACAGCACGTCTTCAGTTAGTACAGAAAGCCCTGAGCACATAACTGTTACAATAGCTCACTCACACACAGAGATCAACATGCAAACATTCAGGTTTCCACCAGTCTGACGTGGAGCAGCGCTGCCACACCTAACTGGGGCTCCGTGTGGTACTTCTGGTTTTAACATTATTCCACCGGGAGCTCTGCATCTGTTCAACAGATCACAGGAGTCTTACATCAGCCTGCGGTTTGGCTCATTCCCCCCATTCTGAAATAGCCGGGATGAAACCATCTTCTACTTTTATAAAACAAGGACACGTTTGAGTCCGTTTCAGATCAAGTTGCAGTTCTGAAAGGAGCAAAGCATCAACCGTGAGAGCGAGCGCGAGGGAAGAGAAGAAGCAACAGAAAGAAAACACTCTGTTCCAGTTCGGAAGCTGAAAGAAAAAGAAAATAAGCGAAATGTATGCAAAACAGGAGAAACAGGAGAGCAGCTTTGGTTAAACAGCTTAAAGGAATAGTTCAGAACGTATCTGCTTTCCTGCAGCCAGTTAGATGAGAAGATCAACACCACTGTGTTCAGTATGAAGCTACAGCCGGTTAGCTTAGCTTAGCACAAAGACTGGAAGCAGATGGACACAGCTAGCCTGGCTAAAGCTCTCTAAAGAACATGTTATATATTATTTAATAATATAATAGAGCATGTTGATTACCTTTAAAAATGTCATCAACTCAATTTTCATCAAAATAAATGACATCACTTGTTGCGTTACTTTCCTTTTAGGACCAAAACAAGAGATTTGATCGCCCTGTGATCTCAGATATCGTGATCTTTCACTGTTCTATGGTGTCTTATAGACTAATTGATTCATTGATAAAATGGTCTGTGGTTGAAGCCCGACTCGTCTGCTGTCCAACATGGTTAATTAGTGAGCTTCAGAGGTGCTAGGCAGATCTAGGCTAGCTGTTCCCCCTTGTTTCCAGTCTTTATGCTAAGCTAAACTAAACAGCTAATCATACTTATCACACAGACATGTGAGGGGTGTCAATCTCCTCAAGTAAGAAAGCAAATCCCAACAGAGTCAAACGAGGAAAACAAAGCAAAATGCACAAGCAGCTGAAAAGAGGCGGGAGCTGAAAGACCGGCGGCGTACCGAGCTGCCCCTCGTCTCCACGTGAAGGGCTCTCTGATTCTGAGAGCTCGGGCACTTCAGCTCCAACGCCGGCTTCCTCTGCAGACGTCTCTGCTGCAGGATAAATAGATGTCAGTCAGTCAGAAATGTAGCTAACAGTTCAACCCCTCAATCTCAGCCTAATCTCGCAGGATTACGGAAGCTAAACCGGCTCTGAAGCGACACCTCCTGACCTCGCCGCTGAGGTATTCCTCACGTTTGCAGGAGCTGTTGAACAGATCGAGGAGCGTTCTGAACCTGATGACATTACTTTCCACTACGCTTTGGACTCGCCGTCACTCTCTTTGTTTGTGATCAAAGCATGCTCGACCCAGACTGGAGAGGAGCTACTGTGGCTAATTCTTACAGGCGTTGTCTTTGGGTGCTAGTCTCTCCTATTGCACTTTGTTTGCAGTGACAACACAGAGAGATGTGCCAGCAGGCTGTAAATATCAGAAACGCATGTTTGAAGCACACATTAGCAAACAGGCAGAAAACTTTAAACCAAGACATGCTGAAAGAAAAGAAGAAAATGAAGAAACAAAGAAACATTTCTTCAGTTTTATCTGTGAACAAGAAGGAGTTTAATGTGGAAGAGCAATGAGAACTGAAACATGCTAAATGAGGGTTAGGTTGAGTTAATAAAGCTGCAGGCCGTGAGGAGTGCAGGAGCGGCGTACCAGGAGGCACCTCGTCGTCACACAGTGCGGATTCAGGTTTCAAACCGTTTTCACTGAGCGCTGCTTCAGTCTCTGTGAAATAAAGGTAAACGGGAGGTCAAGCTGGAGGTCAAGATGGAGGTTTATTGTGACGCTGCTGTGAAAAAAAAAAAATCAATCACAAAAAACACTTTGAACACAATCAATGTTCATGTGAGCTGTGAAAAGTAATTACAGCGGTTGAAACATTCAGTCTGAGTTATTTATCAACCGTTTGTGCAGCAAAACCATTAAAACCTGTTAAAACAGATCTAGAGGCTGAATGATTAGATTAAAAACATTTTTATCCAGATTGTATTCAGAAAAGGGTTCTTGGCGGGAAACTCGAGGTGGGTTCGAGATGAAACTCATGGAACATAGAAGAAAGAAGAAGAAGAAGAAGAAGAAGAAGAAGAAGAAGAGGAAGAAGAAGAAGAAGAAAGAATCAGACAAATGTTTTAAGACCGTTGTGATAAATTTGTTCAATATAGTCATCACAAATGTATTTATCTGTTGGACTTCAGTACTGCGTTGTTGTGTACTTGTACCTGGATTAGTGCAGATTTACATCAAAGAACTAAATATATTCTAACACACTTAAACCTGCAGGAACAGATTTCTGTGGCCACTTGTGAACATAATATTGTTATATTATCACCTTTAAGTTGATATGTTGAATTTGTCGTACTTACACATGCAGTAGTTACAGACAACATGATTCATTAAGACTCTTTGTTTGTGTCACATTATCCATCAGTCCACTATTCTCTCTTTTAGCTCTGCTTTTGGTCTCCACCACCAAATATCTGCTAAAAGCAGCTCGTCTCTGAGTCTGTCTGCTGTTTAGTGGACTGTTACTTTTGACAGCTTTCATGATGAAGACGTTGCTGTGAGAGCGCTGAAGGTGATCAACAATAAGCTGAAACTCACTATAAAGCCCCGTAGAGCTGAGAGGAGCTGCAGAGAGATCATTCTCTGCAGCTTTCTTTCTGTCACAGACGCCAAGTTCTACATTTGATGTGCTGACTTTGTCATATCTGCGACACAATAAAAGCATAAAATGCATTTTTGTGTTCGCCACTTGAACTGCATTTATGGGTAAAATTAAGAGCGACAGGATCACATTTTAAGTTGATTCCTCATTAATTTATGACAAGAAATTACATTTCTAAATCCAATTTACTGCTCTGAACTAAACACAACCACCTTTACACTACAGATACTACACCTCCTAACTACGTCTTCTACGCTCTTCTACAGATGATCGAGGTACTCACGTAGTGTTTCAGCGCTGACGGGCCGACCTGACTGTGTGTGCTGCTGCTTCCTGTTTGTGCGCGAGATGATGGGAAGTGAAAACGTGGAGAAGGACTGCACCAGCGAGGGCTGTAGACTGGGGAAAGCTAGGCTACGCACTAATGGGCCGTACGGTTGATAAGAAGGGATGAGAAGGGAGAAACTGAAAATGGTTATAAGCTATTGAACAATCCGTCAGGACGGTTTTATTTATCCATCTGTGAAACTGACAAACAATACATTTATTTATCCTTTCAGGACTCATCATCAGACGTGTCTTTATCTTCCTGCGCATCGTGAGGAGCCGGTTGTTTGTGGGCTGAATGCAGCGACAGGAGCTCCTTCTGACCCACATCACAGAGCTCAGTGCAGCTGCAGCCGGGCGCTCGGGCCAGTCGAGCATGTCTTGTATCCATTATGTAAAGCCGATTCAAACAAAGCGCAGCTGAAACTGTGGAGCCCCCCCCCCCCGATCTCTACCGACTACAGTGACTTATAGTAAAACTGAATCCTTCTCTTTGAGATCATTGAGGAATATATTCTGGGATTAAAGCACTAATTTAAAAGGCACAGTGACTTTTAACCTAAGGGTCTCAAACTTTACCCACAAGTCAGCTGGGTCACATGATACAAATAAAAACATAAAAACCATTGACAAGACTATACGGCAAATAAAAAAATTGAATAAAAACAAAATCATTCCTTACTTTCACAATCATAATAATAATTACGATGAAAGAACAATATAATAATAATAATAACAATCCGATTTTATTTATTTTTATAAAATAATTTTCCATCATCATTCGTTTTTGTGTATTTCTAACAGCTCACCGGCAGAGAGGCGTTTTTATACGAGTGCTTTACCCGCGATGTACTGACAGTACGCATGATGTCATCAGCGTCACGTCACCGCGTTCAGGCGACGCTGCATGAATGCACTCAAAGTGAAGTCATCCAGCGAGAGCCAATCAAATAGTGGAAGCAGATCACGTCGTGATAAACTCGCTGTGACATCCTGTCTGCTGGTTTTACAGGACGCTGTGCAGCGCTTTCAAGTATTGATTAACCTTCAGAGTTATGACTTCCTGGATGATATTTCATCGTTACTCGACACTCGCAGGTTCTTGCTGTGCTTCTGTCTGAACGTCCACTTATTGTGCATCAGGCGTGTTCTCTCTTCCTCATCATCTGAGGTTTTCATACCTGTATTCAGACAGTAAAGCCTCCTGACTTTGTGCTGCTTAAATAAAACCGACTTGACTCTGACCTTTCATGATGACCCCGTTCTCCTGGCGGTGCTGCTCGTTGATGGTGACGTTGGCTAAGGAGGAGGTCATGGTGTCTCCGGAGCTGTAGCTGTTGTTCATGCAGTCCATTGCCGGTCGCAGGTCGGGCTGCAGGAGAGCGGGACAGAGTTAAGTCCGGGTTGTCTCACTCAGAAACAAGTCGTGACACATTTGCTGACCCACCTGCTTTCAAAGATTAAAATACAAGCATGACGCACACTTCATGGACACTTTGTCTTTCCGGCGGGCAGAAGTTAGTCCGTCACCACCGAATGTAAACAGACACTGCGTCGGTGAAGACCAGTTATTTATACTTCCTGATGTCGGGTCGGCGCTTCGTGTTACAGCCTGACTGATAAAAATAGTCCCTTCTGCCCGTGTGCACGTCGTCCTCACTGTCACTAGCTTCCTAAACAAGCACCTCTGAACAAGTGTGTTTCATGTTCCATCATCATCATCATCAAGATGCTCATCCTATAGATACTAAAGTTAGATAGTGAAGGAGGAGGTATTCAGATACTTTACTTAAAGCCACGCTGTAGAAATACTCTGGTGCAAGTAACAGTATGTGGGCGTAATCATGAAAATGTAGTATTCAAACTGTGACTGTTCTGCTATATGTTCTACTATATGTTCTACTATATTATATATAGTTGTATTAGATTATTATCATGCAATAGGGTGAAAGCTGAATGTCTCCTGTTGGTTGAGCTGGGGCTCATTTTGAACTGTTAACTAATGATATGATTATTTTCATTATGGAATAATATGCTGATCATTTTCTACATTAATTGATTGTTTGGTTTGTAAAAAATAGTGAAAAATGCCGTCGCACCGAAACGTTCTCACTGATACGTTGACATTAAATAAAATTGTTAAACGAAAAAGCAGCGAAACTTCATATCTGTGAAGCTCGAACCGTGAAATGTTCCGTAATAATCATCAAAACAGACGACTAATAGTTCCAGCTGTACTTGAACAAACTGTTTAATAGTTACATTTATTATATATATTTATCATATTTAATAACCTCTTTATATGTTTTGTTCGCAAAAATCACATTTATATACTTAGTTACTTCCCACCACTGCTAGTACTGCGTATACTGTACTACAGGAAGTAACAAAAGTCACCAAACGCTTCTTCAACCGGCGAGATAAGAGTCAAATCTCGTAAAAAGAGGATTACACGTCAGATTAAACACAAGCCTCTCGTTACATCAGCAGTTTTCAGTTTGAATCCACTGCCCACACACACACACACACACACACACACACACACACACACACAGAGTTTATGGCGTAATCGTTGTCGGCATCCAAACTGCTCTTTCCGTGTCCGTGTGTTGAAGCCTCTGATCATCGTCTGTGTTTTGACTTTAATCTCAGAGGTGCAGCTCGAACACAAACAGTTTATAGTCTCAGCTGCAGTCATCATCAGTCAATATCACGGAGCAATAAAATACATAATCTGTGGTTCAACAGATTATTGTTGTTTGTCAGCGGAGGAACGTAAACGAGTAGATTTACACAAGGAGTGTACTTTGGTAAGGTTTTCAGGTACTTGTACTTTACTCATTTTATGTAACTTAATACTTCTGCATTAGAGGGAAATATTGTGCTTTTTACACAACAATGACATTTATTTGACAGCTTTCACTAATAGTTACTTTACAGATTGAGATTTTACATAAAATTAAATACGATACGTTTATAAAATACAAAACATTCTTCAGATTAAACTGGTGATTCCTCCCACCACTCGTCCTCTTGAAGCTTCTCACCACCAAGTGATGCAACGGCCTCTTCACGACCAGCAAAGCCTAAACTGTTGCTGCGGTGACTCCTCGGCTGAGCTACGTGACCTTCCCTCTGTGTACATCCATGCAGTATCTGCTGAGCTTGCATGTTTAAACAGCGTCACGCATTCAGAGCAAACAACGAACGGGAGAAAGTGGCGACCACATCGGGATAGAATACATTTAAACTCCTCTTTCTCCAAGTGTGGATTAATCCGCCACAGAAAGTAGTCCCCAACAAATGCACTATTTCCTCCAGTTTGAGAGATGTTTGATGAAAACTACAGTGACCAGCTGTTTTATAAACATCACTGAGCTTTTATTAAAATATAACTTTATATTTGTGACCTTTTCTAAATGATTATTTTTGCCTAAACCAATCAGAAGCCGTCACAGCAGTAGCGTCTGTTAATAGTCGTTAACTTAACGAAATTCTCTAAGTTCACTCACGGCAACCGGCACCGCTGCGTCGCCATCGATCTCTTCCACGCTTGCCGCCATTTTCTTGGTCGCGCCCTTTGTAGTTTTTCTGGCGCGGGAACATAAAGTCCCCATTCTTGATCCCGCCCACAGAGCTCTGATTGGCTCTGTTGGTTGTTTTTTGTCCAAGCGGTGGAAACACACAGTCTTTGATTCGCTGAAATAAATCCGGCAGCGATTCAAAAGGTTTGGAACCAGACTGACTGATTTGTTGACATTAAGAAAAACCACACCAGACGTCTCCTTTAAAAAACTGCATTTAAAACAAACAAAGAGGAGATATTACAGTAGATGGCAGAGAGAGAGATATCTGTCCCATAGAAGTCCTAATGAATAGTGTACTCTCAGTGCTCCCGGACAGAACTGCCATTGTGGCATCACACATGACGGACTCCAAACAACGAGCACTGCTGCCAACCAAGACAATCCTCTCCGAGGAGCCGCTCTCTGCAAACAATCTCCACGCTGATGAGAGC